TTTCTACTGCTAATACCTCTCCCTATACAACCAAGCATTCTGCTAGCATTTCCTGCTGCTCTATTACATTGTCTGCCTACCTTTAAGTCATCAGAAATAATCACCCCTAAATCCCTTTCCTCATATGTTGGCTTGAAATCCATACAATCACAGTGCTCTGTGAAATCCATCCAATCACAGTGCTCTGTGTCATTTTACACAGCGTGGAAAAATTCCAAAGAACTTTCCCACGCTGTGTAAAATGACACAGAGCACTGTGATTGGATGGCTTGAAATCCATCCAATCACAGTGCTCTGTGTCATTTTACACAGCGTGTTCGCCAGGAACTATTCGCCAGCGAACCGTTCGGTACATCACTACTGAGAGGGGATATGATAACATTATACAAATATTTTCGGGGCCAATACAAACCGTTGTGTGGAAATCTATTCACAAACCGGACTTTACATAGGACACGATGCCATGCGTTTAAACTGGAAGAAAGAAGATTTTGTCTAAGGCAAAGGAAAGGTTTTTTTTACTGTAAGAACAATCAGGATGTGGAATTCTCTGCCTGAAGAAGTGGTTTTATCAGAGTCCATACAGATGTTCAAACAGCTATTAGATGCATACTTGCAAAAACAGAATATTCAAGGATATAATCTTTCAATGTAGGGTAATAACTGCTTGATCCAAGGATAAATCTGACTGCCATTCTGGGGTCAAGAAGGAATTTTTTTCCTAGCTTGTTGCAAAATTGTGCTTCAAACTATTTTTTTTTGCCTTCTTTTGGATCAACAGCAAAAAACAAATGTGAGGAAGACTGAACTTGAAGGACGCAAGTCTCTTTTCAGCTATGTAACTATGTGACTATGTAACCACTCTGATGAGACACCCCTACCCATGACCCTGGCCATAGGATTGGTATAGAGAGACCAAATTGAATCATATATAAAATCTTGGAAGCCAAATGCTTTAAGGACCCTCGACAGGAACATCCAGTTTACCCTGTCGAAGGCCTTCTCTGCATCCAAAGCCACGAATAGTGATGGGATCTTATTATTCTCTATTAATTAGATTTAAAAGCCTGCGTACATTATGGGCTCCTTTTCTACCCATTATAAATCCAGTTTGATCTGGGTTAATTAAAGACGGAACAATTTTTTTTATTCTATCAGCCAGTATCCTCGAGAAGATCTTTATATCAATGTTTAATAACGATATAGGTCTGTAATTCGATACAAAATGTGGATCTTTCTCTGGTTTTAGAATAGGTATAATCATTGTTTGTAGCATTTCCTTAGGGAAATATTTCTGGTCCCTCATTTCATTATAGACTTTAAACAAAAGAGAAGAGATAGGAGTGAGGAATGTTTTGTAAAAGGCATCAGTGAGACCATCTGGTTCAGGAGCTTTCCTTTTACGGAGTGTTTTTATAGCCTGGCGAATCTCTTTTATGGATATAGGAGATTCTAAATCGTTAGTCTGTTCTACATTTATTTTTGGTAAATTACAGTTGAATAGGAAGGTATCTATATCTTCGATAGTTAATGGGGTCTTTGATAGGTTATATAATGATTCATAATATTAACCAAATACTTCCCCTATGTCAGTTGGTGATAATTAATCTTTATTATTATATTTTATCTTTGTAATCTTTTGTTGTCTTTTTTTAAATTTTAATTTATTAGAAAAAAGTTTACTCGTTCTATTTTCTCCAAAATACCACTGTTGGTTTAACCTTATAATTGCATTGATTACTTTATTTGATAAATTGGTTTTAATTTGAGTTTGTATTTCTTTAATTTTGTTTAATCTTAATATATTAAAATCTTTTTTATTAATATTTTCTAATATGGCTAATTCTATATAGAGATCCGTTTTTTCCCCTGATCTTTTTTCAGTTTTGCTCCAATTTTTATAAGGTTTCCCCTCATAAAACATTTGTATGTGCACCAAAGAGTACTGTTAGAGTACTTCTTTATTATCATTGAATCTTATAAATTCTTCTGCTTGGTCTTTTAAATATTTTAGACCATATTCTGAGTCTAAAATTTCATCATTCATCCTCCAAGATGTCCTTCCCTGAGTATCATTTTTTTGTTTTATGTTAGTTATTATCGGTGCATGATCTGACCAGGATATATTGTCAATATTAGAATTTTCAAACCTCTGTAAACTACAAGAATTTGTTAAATAAATGTCTATTCTTGAGTACGTTTTATGTACATGAGAGAAATATGAATAGTCCCTATTATTGGGATGCTGAACCCTCCAGATATCATAAAAATCATGTTCTATCATAATGTTACGAAATGATCTAGCGTTATTGGTTACTTTCCTGGTGTAGTGATTGTTCTTATTAGTTAGTGTTCTATCCATTTTTACGTCTGGTGTAGCATTCATATCTCCAGCTATCAATAGAGTTCCTTTTTTGATTTTCTCGATTTCATTGAAAACAGATTTGAAAAATTTACTGGAATAGATATTTGGTGCATATAAGTTTACCAATGTAAATATTTCTTCATTTAATTTACAAATCACGATTAAACTGATTATCTTTTTTTTCTAAAATAAGTTTGAATTTAGTTACTGAAATTACTATTGCAACTCCTCTCTTCTTTTTGTTATAATCTGATGTAAAGATTAATGGGAATTTGGTACATTTCCAATAGTTGGTATTCTGATTCTGCCAATGTGTCTCCTGCACAAAACAGACATCGATTTTATTTTTTCTAATTGTATCATATAGATATCCTCTCTTTTGAGGGGTATTTAAACCCTGGGCATTGATGGATAAAACCCTAACCATATTCATAGATCTTAGCTGGTCCTTTTTGATCTATGCTTCTATTTTTAAAAACCTCCCACCCATTCCTTCTCTGTGTGGCTTTGGTACACACATTCATACAAACCAATGAACCTGTATCCTTAAGAGGAAAACAGGGTCACAATCTTACAATAATCCCTGAACCGTATAGTTGTGTGAAAGGGAGAGGAAAGAAGGGAGGAAGAAAAAAAAAAAAAAAAACATTTCCCTTTTTTTTATAATTGCTTTGTATTGGTCACTTAACCATTCACCCTCATTAGGATTTTAAAAATAAAATTGAGATTTGTGTTACATATGTAACAATTCTAACACAGCATGGTGCTTGATGTTTATATTTTTCTGTGTAAAATAAAATGTTACTTCCTAAGCACAAATACAGCCTTCATATGTTATGGACACACACCAACATCATACAGTTGGATTCATAAAAATCTTTTGCGCTGGAGAATGTGTCGAAATGCTGACTATCGATCTGTCCATAAGCCCACCCACCTATCAGACAGTCTGTCTGTCTAGGGTACTGATGGATCGATTGAGTGATTGATTTACTAAAATAATCATCATCTGTTACTATTACAGACATTTTGTTGTTTGTTTGTTTGTTTTTAGTAATTTTAGTTAGTAATAGGTATTAATTGGAAAAACTCCAGTCACACTGTACCTGGTTACATTTTCTAATGTTGACACTTTCTTATTTATTTGTATGCAGTGTATCTTATGATGTACTTAAGGAATTATAAAATAAAATAGTACAATTAGATAATACAATTGCAGGGAGCGATTTATGCGATGAGATATTAATGTTAGTTTTAACCATTTAGTTCCTTCAAGAGCCACAATCTAAAATGATCATATTCAGTGTTTGGAAATGCATTTGGGCCCTGAATAGATTGGTAAAAACAGGTGGTGTCCCTTTAGTTGCCAAAGCAGAGCCCTCTAGATAAAAACTGCCTCAATTCCCACTCTTTTTTATTCCCCAAGTGGTATCACCTGATAGGTGAGAACCAGGAGTGCTATGCATGAAGTATGAGAGTGTCAGACCACTGACATTTGTTTCCAGTTCCCGTTCTGTAATCTGGGCCTAACGGCAGATCTCATGACATAGTAAGGTAATACGTCAATATGTTAAACATGTTACAATGTTACACATTCTACACAAATTAACTCGTGATTTGTCTTTAAATGAACTAACATTTCATGTACTTTCTAAGAGCATCCCTGTCACTTTGCAAGTATTGCTTTTAACCCCTTAAGGACCAAACTCCTGAAATAAAAGGGAATCATGACATGTCACACTATTTCTCCTTGCTTCTATTTGTTTTAAAATGTTGTATTTAGCATTTATTTTTGCAATGAACTGAGCTTAAACAAAGTTTCACTTCAGTTGCTAAGCTAATACATTACTCAGAAGAATTGTGCAGAAGGACAAACTATAGACATCATGGAGAGAGGAGGACAAAATGGAGGCGACCAGGTACTGAGATCTTGAGCAAGGAAGAAAAGATGATACATATAAATAAAGGCAAGCGGAAATAGGGAGCATGTTATCATTAACGTAAAATGGGAATGAGGATAGAAAAACCATAAACATTCACCAAAAAGGCTACTATAATATGTCAGTGCATATGTATGTAGTATAAAATTTATTTTGCAATTGTTTGGAGGTAATAGTTTTAATGAAATGGTTAACAGGTAAGGTATTAAGGAAGCATGTGGGCTATTTGATATTAAAACACAACAGATGTAACTACAGAAATATACTAACGTTAGTTCTGTATTGTGAGCACTTCATCACAGCAACTACAATATCTATACTAAAGAGACAGAGTTATCTTAGTGAAAGAGTTTTATTTAAAAGTATTGTTTAGCCTAACTCTCTCATATGTCTACTTTTTCCATAACATCATGTTGGAATCTTTCTGAAAAACCTATTGCAGTGCATGCTATTTGAAAAATATAAATTAAAAAAAATGTCCCATTGTTTAATGAATAAACCTCTTATTATAAACTAGAGCAGCACAGGTTGGAAGATGTGAAAATGTATATGAGTAAAATGCACTTGGTCTGTTTTATAAGCCAGTGACAGAAAGTCTATCAGATTAAAAACCTTTAGAGAGAAGGCCAGCATAGTTTACAAGCCACCAGACTTATTAATAGGCCTGACTCCCCTTTGCAATGTCAACTGAAACCTTAACCCTTATCCCAAGTCACAGTTTCTCAAATGTCAGCAGCCAGTAGCTGTCCTGCTCCTCTCCTGAGTACATCCGAGAGCCCAATGGAGAATTTGGAAGAAAATCTAAATAAACTTAAATTATTAGAAGCCCCAACCGGTGGTGATTCTTGTGTAGATGATGAAGATGAAAAAGCTACACTCAAACCTCGATTTTCTCCTCTTCCAAGAAGACGTAGCTCCGTGTCTTCAGATGATGGAGATATTGAACCACCAACATCCATAGCAAGAAAAGTGTCCTTTGCAGATGCATTTGGATTTGATCTAGTATCTGTTAAAGAGTTTGATACTTGGGAAGTACCAATTGTGTCTCAAATCTTCGAAGCAGAAACTGTTCAGGTAGAGGAATTTATGTTTATACCAAGCTTTGTACTACCTTCAGCAGATGGAATGATGGAGAAACTACAAGCAAAAAAAGTACTTCTAGAATCTGTGGACTTCATACCAGGGACAACCTGTATGAAGGGAATTATTAGAGTTCTAAATGTGTCTTATGAGAAACAAATATATGTGCGTATGTCACTTGATGGTTGGCAGAGCTATTATGATCTTTTAGCAGAGTATATTCCAGACTCTTGTACTGGGGACACTGATCAGTTTTTCTTCAATATCTCAGTGGTGGCACCTTATCAAAAAGATGGAGCAAAAGTTGAGTTCTGTATATGTTATGACACAGCAATTGGTACATTTTGGGATAACAATGATGGACAAAATTACATCTTGACATGCCAAAAGAAAGAACAAATAATGTCGCAGTCGGATAGCTTGTCTGAAGATCTCGCAGACAGATTAAAGAAAAGTTGTTTAAAACCAGTAGCAAGGTAAGTCTAAAAGAACCTTACAAACAAGAAACATTTGTATTTTATTTGAAAATGATCTAGTAATATGCATAATATTTCATTGTACCACTAAAGGGCTATATGGTATTTTACATCTGCCTGTTTAAAACCCAGAAGCTTTTTACACACAGTTGCAATATCAATTCATCCTTAGACTGAATAATGTGATGCAATCATTTTCACTGTCTTGTTTAAATAACACTATCCTTAAGGCAGTTAGTGTGTCCTGAACAATACGCAAACATTCCCCTTGAGTTTACAGCCTTAGAGGTCAAGCCATTTTAAGGAAGAGCTTCTCAACTATTTTGCCCTTTAGATACATTTAGATACAACAATTGGTTAAGAACGTGTGATGTGATGTGCTGTAACCCCTGAAGTGCAAGAGAGCCTCATGCTCATAAATCATTTTTTAAGCTAATTCATATCAAAGGAATTCTTTCCCATAATAAGTGGGATCTCTCTATTAATAAAGTGGTAATTAAGGATTGTCATTTAATAAAAACATATTTTAACACTGAGTACTTTGACAATTGTACATGTAAATTAGGTCTGTTATTATATCCTTAGTGTTCCAATTAACTTCAAGAGCCACTCAGTTCTGTATCTGTAATATATTCTTAGCAATTCTGTTTGAAGTAAATTTAGGAAGCCAGTTAATTTACAATATTTAAGAATAATAATTTGGATTTTTTTTTTTTTTTTACTGTTTCAAAGAATACTTAGTAGGCAAGAATCTTGAGTTGCTTCAAATGTATAATGACAATTTAAAATATTATTTATTATCTGGAACAAATAACATTGTTAACCTGTTAAAAAAGTAAAAATACCTTTGTCCCTCTCTTATATAAATATAGCTGAGCTTCTCTTTGTTTCTGGAAATCTAAGTAGTGCTAGAGGGTTTCTGTTATGAGATTGCTTGTGCTTTTCTACAATAAACCAATTGTGAGTATTATTTACAGCACATCAGACAGTAGTCTAAAATATTTCTGAGTATATTTGCCTTGTAATACTTTTCAGTCCTGCCTTGGAAAACCAAAAATGCACCCAGACATGAAAGGAATTGAAGATTTCCCATAATTCTATTATTATCGTGGTTTATTTTGTTATGTTTTTCCCTGGAGAACTAATGTTGAAAATAATATAACTGACTCGTTTTGCTGGTATTTAAATTTCTGCACAACTAAAAAATGTGTTCAAGAGGAGAGGGCACTAAAATCAGATTATTTGATTTAACTTACCACTAAATAACTTCATTTAAAGGGAGATTCCAAGCACGCACCCCTGTTAGGTACAATTTGTAGGTTGGGTAAAAGTTAAGTGGCACTATAGTCACCTGAACAACTTTTGCTTAATGAAGCAGTTTTGGTGTATAGAACATGCCCCTGCAGCTTCACTGCTCAATCCTCTGCCATTTAGAAGTTAAATCCCTTTGTTTATGAACCCTAGTCACACCTCCCTGAATGTGACTTGCACAGCCTTCCATAAACACTTCCTGTAAAGAGAGCCCTATTTAGGCTTTCTTTATTGCAAGTTCTGTTTAATTAAGATTTTATTATCCTCTGCTATATTAATAGCTTGCTAGACCCTGCAAGAGCCTCCTGTATGTGATAAAAGTTCAATTTAGAGATTGAGATACAATTATTTAAGGTAAATTACATCTGTTTGAAAGTGAAACCAGTTTTTTTTCCATGCAGGCTCTGTCAATCATAGCCAGGTGAGGTGTGGCTAGGGCTGCATAAACAGAAACAAAGTGATTTAACTCCTAAATGACAGTGAATTGAGCAGTGAAATTGCAGGGGAATGATCTATACACTAAAACTGCTTTATTTAGCTAAAGTAATTTAGGTGACTGTAGTGTTCCTTTAGCCATGATATATGTTGTGTTAATTATTTATTCGTATGGTTATGGTAAAATAGCACAACGTTTATTGTGTTCATCTCTTGAGCCCTTACCACCAGGGTCGGACTGGGAGAAAAATTCAGCCCAAGCATTTTTGAATCACAATGGTCTATTGAGCAGGGGGTGGGGACAGAAAGGGTTGTTTTGTCATCACCAATTACAAGCTCACCCCCTCTGAAAGTGAGCATGTTGGTTCAATGCTCTTCCAGGGCAGAGCCATGTGTAGAGCCCTGCTAAAGAGCCCTTGAATGAGAAAAGGCCCTGTATTTGGTCTGTGCAGTGCAAGCAAATGTATTAACATGCTTGAGCCATGTTTACTTGTGACTTGCCTCTGGTTTCTCTATAAGTGGGATACCAGAGGACAAAAGGGAAAGTGTATTGTGTATGTGTTTGGAGCCTGCTTTGTGTGTGTGTAAAGTGAGCTGATTGTGGTGTGATGTTTTGTTTAATAGGTCAGTTTCAGTTGTATTGTGTTTGTGGTGTAATAGGGGATCTAGAGTGTGTATGTCGGGAATGTAGTGTGTGTAGATGGTGCAGTGTGTGCCTATAGGGGATCTAGTGTGTGTATGTGTGTGTAGAGGATCCACAGTTGTGTGGAATTTAGTGTGTGTGTATGGGGGGTGCAGTGAGTGTTTGCGACAGATGCTATGTGTGGGGGCTGCAGTATGTGTTTGAGTGGTACAGTATGTGTGAAGGATCCAAGTCCTAGTGGTGAGTAAACTAGCTCCTGGAGCCAGAGTTCACTCTCACGAGATTGGAGCATTGCCATGGTAACCACGGCAATGCTCCCACCTCGTGAAAGGAAGAACCCGGCAGAGATGCTGGCCAGAGCTCCTGGGTCTCCCCTCCCCCACATTGAAGTGTCATCAGGCCTGTGAGGGAGATCATTGATCTCCCCACCGGCCGGTCATGGCACACTGCAGGGTCAGCTTAAATAGTGCCAACTTTCAGGTAATTGCCCGGTTTGTCCGATGGCCATTCCAGGCCTGTTCACCAACAATATTTAATGTTTCCAATATAGTTTGAATAATACACCTGTATGTCGCGTGATCACAAAAATCTTGAGATACACCAAATCGCAAGTATATAACAGGTATGCAGTCCATACAAATGTGAACAAAGCAGTCTGTGTCAGGTTTCTTTTACCCTGTGGAAAGAAAAAAGTTATATTTCATAAATTTTATGATAATTCTACCATTTCTTTATTTCCATTATGATAGCATAAGAATCTAAGGCTCTGTGTATATAAAAAATATATATATTCGATTCATATTGACTGCCATAATGGTAAAGCTATGGAGTTGAAAGGTGGCATGCCACAACTGTTAGCTAAACCCATCTGCTAAGATTGAGGGAGTGCTCTGTATGTGAATGTGAATGTAAATGGGGTGCTGCTTTTGCTGCACCACCCATTGTAAGAGGACATACTGGAGAAGACATAGGTGCTCTTCAGGTTAGAATATATTTTAATCTATAGATTGCACAATTGCCTTGAAGGTGAACATGCCATCTACATGATTCATGAGTTTGAAGTTCTCATATTGCTCCTGCACTGTCACACTAGCAAAATATGTTTGTTTGTTTGTTTTTAGGATATTATCCTGTAGATTTGATTTTGGTTGTGTAAAATTTCATTTACTATATCAGTCTGCATCAAGCTGGCTATTGAGCACAGATAACACATTTCTTACATCACTTATGGCATTAATTCCTTATAGGAAAACGCCACAAATTTAAAAGAACACTCTGTGCATCTCCTCTCTGCCTCTGGGAGACCATCAGTACCGATGATCTGTCAGCTAATGTGATAGTTCACATAGAGAAACATGGGGGAGGGCAGGGCACATGCCTGGTACTCACCATTGCACCTTCAATCCTTCTAATACTGAAGTGAGCTGTGCAGAACAGAGACTCTGCTAACACATTGCAAACAGTAATTAAAAAACTATTTGTTGTGTATCAATCTTATTTCAAACAACTACTGTTCCTTAACCCTATAAAAGTGAAATTGGCAGTGTCTTTTTCAATTTATGACTGTCAAATTCCATCAAAAGACACCTTGAAAGATCTCACCCAAGCAGCTGAACATGTCATTAAAACGCTTGTGGTGACAGAGGCATATATAGAGGTATCTGACCCTTACGATCCTCGTGTAATCCTAGTGAGGTACAGGATGACTCATATTTCTGGTGTCACAGATTTCATTCTTTGCGTCTCATTGATGCCCTAGCATTTGATGTCATACCTGGTGTCTTCACTGATTCAGAATGTTAGAACATCAAAGTAGTAGTTTTGTAGAGTTGCTATGCAAAAATTGCCACATTGTTCACTCCCTGATTCCACTTCTGTTTTATATCTTACCAGGAAGCTGTACTAAGATCTTAGCATAGTTCCTTTCACTAAAGACATGACGTGTATTTACTGCTATAGATGACACATTGTGTCAGCAGTGGTAAACAAAGCATGAAATTTGTTTGGCGCACAGCAGGTTCAGGATGCAGTGACTGCGTAGCATTGCCAGGAACTCATATTTCTTTCTGGTCTTTTCAACACTGCCAAGAGTTTGGTGGGGACAGTGACAACTGTATTTTGACCAATGTCAATAGCAATCAGAGGCGATGAAGTGAGAAAGGATTCAGAGACGATTTTGTAAATTATTCTTTAGTTACAGGTTTGCTGCACTAGACCAAGCAGCAACTGAGCGTAATGGGCAGTGATTTTAATGAAATTTACAAACACAATCATAAAGTCACAGTGGAGCAGCATAAAAGTCTTGCGGCCATTATAGATGCATTGGAAGCTTACTTTGTAGAGTTGAGCGAACCCAAACTGAAAAGTTTGGGTTTGTACCGAACATTAGGTTTTTTTGGACCCCGGACTCGAACACGATCATATCACTGTATGTTCGTGTTGGAGTTCTGTGTTCGGCGATTTAATGGTGCGTTTTGAAAGGCTGCAGGGCAGCCAATCAACAAGCGTTTGACTTATGTGCCCTTAGAAGCCATCACAGCCATGCCTACTAATGGCATGGCTGTGATTGGCCAGTGCAGCATATGACCCAGCCTCTATATATAAGCTGGAGTCGTGTAGCGCCGCACGCACATGCGGTCTTATTAGTGTAGAGAGAGGATGCTGCCTCTGATAGGGACAGCTTAGGAAAGAATTCTGCAAACTAGTACATTAGTGGGGTGGGGTGCACTTCATATCTGAGCATCAAATAGAAGCTTCAAATACCGCGGTTACATCGGAGTTTTAAAAATATATTTTATTTGGTGTGAGATAGTACATTAGTGGGGTAGTACATTAGTGGGGTGCACTTCATATCTGAGAGTCAAATAGAAGCGTCAAATAGTGCGCTTACTGCGCAGTGGTAAACATTCTTATTTTCTAGGTGCTAATCTGCTAAATAGTAAATAGTAAATTTTGGAATCGTCAAATACTGCTGTCACATTGCAGTTTTAAAACTTAAAACATTTTTGGGTGCTAAAAAGTACATTAGTGGGGTGCAGTTCATATCTGAGAGTCAAATAGAAGCGTCAAATACTGCTGTCACATTGTCGTTTTAAAACTTAAAAATTTTTTGGGTCCTTAACTACTAAATAGTATTTTAGTGGGGTGCACTTCATATCTGGGAGTCAAATAGAAGCGTCAAATAGTGCGCTTACTGCGCAGTGGTAAACATTCTTATTTTCTAGGTGCTAATCTGCTAAATAGTAAATAGTAAATTTTGGGTCCTGTTCTTCATATCTGAGAGTAAAATCGAAGTGTCTAATACTGTGGTTACAGTGCAATTGTAAAATTCTAATTGTTTTGGTGCTAAAGTGCTAAATAGTATATTTTGGGGCCTGTTCTTCATATCTGAGAGTCAAATAGAAGTGTCAAATAGTGCGCTTACTGCGCAGTGGTAAACATTCTAATTGTTTTGCTGCTAATCTGCTGCTTACATTGCAATTTTAAAAAGTCAAATCGAAGCGTGACTTTGATTCGAATTTACTACATCGGTCACTTGTAATATTGTTTCACACCTACAACACTTGTTACCCAGATCTAAGTGATAGAAAACAGATTGATATTTTCTACACTAGAAACTACCAGATAACAAGCTGCTATATTCAAACCAGTGATCAATAGCTAAGAGGTACTTAAACAATATTGTAATTCTGGGGCAATACCCTCACAAGTCAAACTGAGAGGTCAGTTTATAGGGAAAACTGTTGCCTGGAGGAAATTCTAAAACAATTTCCAAATGTCCTTTGCAGACTTTAAATGCTGGAAAAACACAGGTGCCAACTGCTGTGGCTTTCTGCAGTGTACATACCGGCAAGGAGGGCAGGGTTAAGGAGTGGGTGGAAGATGATGTGGAGGATGATGAGGTCCTAGACCCCACATGGAATCAAGGTCATGTGAGTGACGTGTGCAGTTTGGAGGAAGAGGCGCTGGTCGCACAGAGGCACCAGCACAGCATAATAGGAAGCAGGGTGCAAAAGCGGAGCAGTCGTCCCCTAGCGCTTGTCGGCATGTATTAGCTCATGAATCACCATGGTAGGCGCAGAAACTGGCATTGAAAGTTGATATGGATGACATCCGCATGCTAAGTAGTTGCCACGAGGATGTGCGATTTGCCCGAGATTCTCTAGAGTCAACAAAGTTCTTGCGCAACTATAATGTCAACAGCTACTCTGCGGAAAAGAGTTGTCTTTTTTATATGTCCCAATATTTTGGGGGCTACCCCAATTAATATATATATATATATATATATATATATATATATATATATATATATATATAAAAACAGTGTTGGCTACCTCATCCTCATCCTCCACCACCACGGTCATGCCTCCTCAACCTGTGGGTCACTTAGTATAAACTAGGTACACATTAGCAGAGGCTTGTGAAGGCCTTTTCTCCATGCATCAGGAGTTGAGCATTTATCCATGCATCAGGACTGCTAGAAATGCACCACAGGCCGCAAATGTTTCTTTATTTGTATGTCCCAATATTTTGTTGGCTACCACAATAAAAAAAACAAAAAAACATAAAATACAGTGTTGGCTACCTCATCCTCCTCCTCCACCGCCACAGTCACCGCCTCCTCAACCTATGGGTTACTTAGTATAAACTAGGCATACATTAGCAGAGGCTTGTGAAGGCCTCTTCTCCATGCATCAGGAGTTGAGCGTTTCTCCATGCATCAGCACTGCAAGAAATGCACCACAGGCCGCAAATGTTTCTTTTTTTCTATGTCCCAATATTTTGTGGGCTACCACAATAAAAAAAAAATACATAAAATACAGTGTTGGCTACCTCATCCTCCTCCTCCACTGCCACGGTCACCGCCTCCTCAACCTATGGGTCACTTAGTATAAACTAGGTAAACATTAGCAGAGGCTTGTGAAGGCCTTTTCTCCATGCATCAGGAGTTGAGCATTTTTCCATGCATCAGGACTGCAAGAAATGCACCGCAGGCTGCAAATTTTTCTTTATTTGTATGTCCCAATATTTTGTGGGCTAACGCAATTTAAAAAAACAAAAAAATAAAAACAAATAACAAAAAACAGTGTTGGCTACCTCATCCTCTTCCTCCACCGCTGCTTCCACCTACACCGCGACAGCCATGTACACAATAGCAGATGCTTGTGAAGGCCTCTTCTCCATGCATCAGGAGTTGAGCTCAGTTTGAACAATGAAAGAGAATACCCTGCACTCCAACCCTCTCTCAAATGGATAATTCTGTTGATCCTCCTGACAGCCATGCTTTAGATTTTGATTTATGTTCGTCCAAAGCTAAAATCAAAGATTCCATCTAGTGGTATTTTATGGCTCAGCTGTATTTTTTATTTTTATGTTATTTTAAGTGATTTCCCTATCCACATTTGTTTGAAGGGCACTTGTCCTACTCTAACCCCCATTTTACTTGCTTTTGCAGCTCTCTAGCTCTTTCCAGGAACTTTTTAGAGGCATTTTTGTGGCCAAAAGTTCGGGTCCTCATTGACTTCAATGGGGTTTGGGTTCGGGGTCAAGTTCGAGCCCGAACCCAGACTTTTTTTCAAAGTTCGGCCGAACCCGCTGGACCCGAACATCCAGGTGTCCGCTCAACTCTATTACTTTGTCATATATAAAACTGCAAACAGAAAGTGAAAGAATCACTTTGTTACCCTTGGGCGAAAGAACAGTAAATTCTGAATATTTCTGGGGATGAGCTAAATAATGAAACTATGGTCTATTAGTGGTCTATGGCAAGAGAGAGCTCATGGTGAAGTCTCAACTTGTGAGACTCAGGGGCTGATCCAGGTTTACATTGCTACAGAGCTGTAGAAGATGGACCATCAATTGAATAATTAAATATCAGTACCAATTGTTTAATTTTGGTATTGATACCTCAGGATTCCTCCTCCAAAAAAAAACCTCTTCTCTATTGGGAGTAGAGGCCCTGTGTACTTCGGTATTAGCGGATGTTAAATAATTACTGTAAAACAACTGCCCCAACTGCAGCTACAAATTATGGTTCCTTTTAAAATCAGCAAGACCTCAACTCAGGTTGGAAATTATTAAATGAAATAAATGAACAAGTTGATGGGTATAGATAAAATGTATTCAATCTACTATGTACCACAAATTATACCAGGCATGTCTGAGCATGATGAGTGTAGTCAGCAGCAGACGGGGAAATAGATTGTTCATCATTATGTATTAAGTAACTGTGCTGTTTAATAGGGTTTCATAATGTTTTCCTGTTGGCACAGTTTCCCAATTTTCTCACCCTATAAATGATATGTGGTTTGGTGTTACTTTCTTAAAGACATATTTTAGGGTTTTTCACTGAAGTGAGTATTGCTGGGAATTCAAAGTGAACCTAAATTTTAATGACTCAATAGCCAAACTAAAAACAGAATTGAATTGAAGATTTTTTTTATGTTGGCCTAAATGTTGAAATTCACTTTGAGTTCACTTTGAATTCCTAGACCTTCAACATCATTAACATAAAAATATTGGGGGAGTGTGGGGTCTTAAAAGGGGAACTTAAATCATAAGTTGGGATGAACTGAGCCTCAAAACTTAAAGTGGCAGTCCAAGATAGTTAGCAGTTTTGGAGCAGAAGACCTTCAGGCACTCATGAAGTAAGTATTGAAGAGTAGGGCATCACAGCAAAGGTTCTTCAGTTTGTATCTCCAGTGAAGTGCAGAAAGAAGAATATCAATGCTTACACCAGGAGCAATAAAATGAATTCTATTGGAATTAGTTTTAAGATTTTTAGATTTTTAGACTTAAACATAAATTATAAGCAATATGAAGATTGAAGATTGAAGATTATAATTTCCAAAGATTAGGCCAAATTGGAAAATTCCCCAACTCAACCAATTCCCAAATCAGTGATTAATTGCTTAATGAGAAGACCCTGGTCAACTTTTGACCATTCCATAACTCTATCAGAGAGTATTTCTAGTCTATGCAGCTACTACATCAGTTTTGTTAAAGTTAGGTTTTAAAAAATATCAAACATGGGGGTGGAGCTTGTCTCATATAGCCAAGCTATATCCCGCAAACCAGGGTTAATTTTCCATACACCCATAATTGCCTATATGCTACTAGGCATCTACATTCCCATGTCATATCCGCAAGCACATATCTACCCCATTTCTGGATTCACCATACCCTCTCTTATACATTTTCTTTATGATACAGACCTCTGTTGGAGCTGGACTTAGTTTGAAACAGTTTTGTTATTTGGAAAAAGAAAAATAGTGCATGTCACCACCTTGTACGAAACTTATTTTTACTCTTCTCTGCTAAATGTTTACATATTGTCTACTATGTATGCAGTCATGAACTACAAAAATAAAGAATTATAAAAAAAAAATCTAAATTTTTTTACATCATACGTTTTCACTTACAATGTCTTTGAAAACTATTTACAGAAATGATGTATTTACCAAAAAACAATGTTAACTACAACAAAAGAAAAGCACTTGGACCCTGCAAAAAACAGTTGAGTACTAAGATTTTTGCACGTGCCTCTTCTCAACAAATTGCAGTGGGTAAAGGAGGAGACACTCACTCAAGGTTCACCAATGCGACTTTATTAAATTATGTGAAGGTACATGGGATTGTTTCATTTCTTTGGACTTTTCTAGCTAATTTGAATTCCGATTTTATTTTTTGGGGGGTGTCCTCCAGCACCATATATTGCTTAGGGAATAAGCAAAGGAAATGTAGCATTTAAACAAATTAAGCAACAAAAGTCAAATGTGTGCTAAAATTGCCCTTAGTAAATGCCCGACATAGATTTTTATTAATTTAGAGCTTAATGTATTCTTATTATTTTTCATTTCTTAATGTTTGTCTTGATGTAAAAGTACTTTTGGTTTTAATTTTTGTGTACACATTTTTCACAAGTAGTCTTGCATGGCTAGTATACCTTAATGCCAACAACCATTAACCCCTTAAGGACACATGACATGTCATGATTCCCTTTTATTCCAGAAGTTTGGTCCTTAAGGGGTTAAAGCATTTATCCTATAATACGCATATGTTTTGTTAGCTCTCTATCAATCTACTTCCTCATTAGAAGCATCAAGTCATCGATGTTAGGGTCATATAGAGTTTCCTAACCAAAGAAATTTGAGACTACATTAACCTCTTCACCCTGTTAATATGAACCACACACTATGAAACTATGATGATAGAAGTGTCTGAGTCATATTCTTCACCGATGTCTGCTGGGTTAAAAATGTTCCCTGGTATTAATTTGGAATTTCTGGAGACTATTCCTAAAGAAGAAGATTAATAATCTATGTTAATAATATAATTTTTGGTAATCATAATGTTAATGATACAACTTAATTTAACAGACCGGAGTGCTTGGGATAAATATTGGAAACAGGATTACATATATGTCCTTTTCTTGTGTTATTTTGATTAAATCTACTTTGAAATGTCATAGAAGTGATGCAGGGTATCTTGATCTGACAATAAAATACCTTTGTACAAGCTTAGCATCGGAAAGATAAAACTTATCTAGCTTTGATAGCAACTGTAAATAGTACCTGGTTTCTGTCCCTACTTATAAAAAGGTAGGTTAATGGAATATATCATAAGTTAAGAAAAAAAGAGTCAAATAAACCAAAATCTAATAATTTTCTTTTTTTAAAGTAATTATACCTCACAAGTCAGGTGTTTGTTCCAAATTAATGTTCATCTAATTTGCAGAAAACTCTAATTAATTAAGAGATAAAGCCTTTCCCAAGTTTCTGTGCCGCGGTTAGACAGGGTACTATAAAAGTTTACAACAGTAGAGGGTCTGTGAATTATGTACCAGGAGTGCCCCAGATTTTTTCAAACTTCGAGAGGGACAAAGTTCAAAGAATTTGATTCATAACTAATGCAATGAGCTTTATGGTGAGGGTGTTTAGAGTATCCCTTTAATTGACTGTATCAAATGAGATTGGGATAAAATCTCAACAAAATTAGTTGTGCTGACATGAACATTTTTATAAATTTGTAACAAAATATTTAAATGAAATAAAGATAATTTTACTTATTAGGCAAACCTTGATTCTGAAAGGTATCTATATTTGACAATATTTAATCCATTCCTTTGATCCTGTTTGCAGCATGTTTGTTCCATTTCTGCATTGATTTATTTCATCTTGTTTGCTAGCTTAATTTGAAATAAGGAAATCATTTTAATGTATGTTTTCCCGCATTACTAGTGATAATTGCACCATTGTATTTACCTTTGTTACATTTCCATAACATGAAAAGTCAAAGTAGTGACATTGGTATAACCTCGCCAGCAAAGGGCTATATTTTACACCCAGCTCCTATTCCGAACTGTCACGAGTTGCTTTCTTATAATAACTGATTCCTTGGCAATGAAAGGATTTTAGGCTTTGCTGAAACTTGTATCTCTGTTCTTCTTGACGTATACAACAATCTCATTTAGAGTATAAGGACGCGCATTTGTCACCAGACCTTTTATTTCCAAATCACTATTTCTTTTGTTCTAAAATACCTTTGTTTTCAATGCAATAGTTTTTGAGATCCAACCTTATAATGTCCTTGTTTGTACAGTTTATATCTAAAGAATGCAAAGCAGTATTGTTCAGTAGTGTTCATATCCTTGATTATTTTAAAATAATATAATTTACAATATATATGATACAATCTGAAGTGACTCTTAATTATACTTATTAAAAAAACATTAAAGGTAATTATTATTATATTTTTTTAAAGGGACAGCGTAGTCACCAGAACAACTACAGCTTAATGCAATTGTTTTAGTGCCTATATTATGCCCATGCAGGCATTTTAATGTAAATACTACCTTTTCAGAGAAATGCAGCTCTATGAGGAGATGCTGATTGGTGCAGCGTGGCATTTTGTGTGTGCACATTAGCAGTGGTGTACTTGAGGCTGGCAAGGCATTTGTCTTGGGCAGCACTTTCAGGGGGGTGACAAAAAAAGCCGCCCCCCAATCGCCCTGGCAAATGCCTTGCCAGCCTCTTGTCCTGGGGGGCCCAGGAGCTGGCTGGCTGACCACCTCAGGGATCCACTGGGCTGGCATGCACAGATGTTGCGGGTGGCGAGGGAGCACTCTCCCCTGAGCTCTTCCCTGCTCAGCTCCCTTGCGCGCACCACAGTGGTGGCAGAGACGGAATATGATGTCACTCCGGCCCCCGGAATCACTAAGAGGTGCTAGGGAGCTGAGCAGGAGGATCAGACCTCCCTCGCTGCCCGCCTCCACCACTCACCTGTCTGCCAGACCTCCTGACCGCCCACCTGCCTGCCAAGCTGCAGCTAGCCCCACTGCACCACAGGGAAAAGTACACTCCAGCACTCCTAAAGGTAGGAGGCTGGGTGGATTGAAACTTCATTTTTTTTTAAATTGTTAGTATGTTAGTGTGTGTGTGTGTCTGTTGGTGAGTGTTAATGTGTGTCTGGTAGTAAGTGTGTCTGTTAGTGAGTGTGTCTGTTAGTGAGTGTTAGTGTGTGTCTGCAAGAGTGTGTCTGTCACTGAGAGTGTATATGCATTTGTCAGTGAGTGTGTGAGTATGTATGTTTTTCAGTGATAGTGTGTATGTGTCTGTCTGTGAATGCTTATCTGTCAGTTAGTGTATATGTGTGTCTGTCAATGAATGTGAGTTGGTGTGTAACTGTTAGTGTAACTGTGAATGAGTGAGTGTGTATGTCTGTGAATGTGTATGTTTCAGTGAAAGTGTGTGTTGGTTAAACAATGTGTGTGACAATGACTGTGTATCTGTGAGTGTATGTCAGTGCATGCATCAGTGAGGGTGTGTGTCTGTCAGGAAGAGAAATTTGGAAGGGAGGGTGGATGCCTGAATTTTGTCATGCCTAGGGCAGCACAAAACCAGAATACACCACTGCACATTAGCCACCCAAAGCTTTCCTATGGGAAAGCATTGGATTGGCTGAGATCATCAGTTCCAAGGAAGAAGAGTGAGGGCAGAGCCAGCGGCGGCAGAACTACGCAGCGCTTAAATTAAAGGTGAGTTGTCACAGTGTTTAAGATGGTAAGGGGAGGCTGATCACTTAAAATGAATTTTTAACACTATAGGGTCAGGAATAGTGTATTCCTGACCCTATATTGTTCCTTTAATTAAAATACAAGCTTGACTGTTTATAAAACTTTCAGCTCTATATTGTTTATATAACTAGCAATAAATAGCCATAAAGAAACAAACTTTTTAAATGGAAACTTGAAACAAAATATGAAAATATTTTACGTTCCTTTTAAAAAAAACAAGGAAAAAAGCTATACATAACATTCTATTAGAAGCTATTTCCTGGAGTCACACAGATAGATTGTTTTACACATTCTAATGCTGTTAACATGACAGGTACTGGCAGGTATCAGTTCATCAGCCTAGTCATGTAGAATCTTAGAACGTGATTATTTTTCACTGATGTTCATATTTCCATTTAAAAGACAAAGTTGCAATCGTTATTACTTTAATGTGAACCTGTCATTCAAAAAATGACATTATGGCCTTTTACTGATAAAAATATAATTTATTGATTGTGCTAGCTAACTTGCTCATTTTGATAGCCAGTGTATGCAGGGGCAAGCTAACCAGGTGCACATGGTGTACAGTACCCAGGTGCCCCAGCTCACATTTCCTGTATAGGTAGCCATGATTATGAAGTTGTTGCAAATTTTCACATTCAGAACTTAAGCTGAATGTAGCCAGACATTTGGTTCTACATCTGTGAGGGTAAAACTCACTTTTAACAAAATGAAGCTCCATTTGTCACTTCCCATCACTAGCACTCCAATCACTTGCTTCAAAATTGAAAAACAATGCACTGAAGCTCTGGAGTGGAAACACAGGAAGAAGTACCAGTCCAAAGTTCTACTTGCTCTTCTACACCAGGGCTACACTGAGCAATGTTTTGATGCCAATGCTAATGGCAGGGGTGAAATGGATAATAATTGTGTGTGAGTGATCAAGTGAGAGAAGTACGAATCAGTCAGATCGCCAAAAGATGTTAGACCACAACTGAGTGTGACATGAGTGGAACATCACACACAGAAAAGGGGAGAGACCAAAATAAGGGGGGAGATGCAGAGAGAAAAAGACAAAGATAGGACCCTGTGTGGAAAGAGACAACCAAATTCAATATGAGGGAGGGATTGGCAAGAAATAAACTGAAAAGGGGAGGATGATGAGTCTATGTACATGACTGAATCTGTACACATGTCTCTGTGTATGTGTGTTTCTGTCTGTGTATGACTTTACCTCTGTATCTGTCTTTGCACTAGTGTGACTGTATATGTGTCTTCATGTGTCATGTGTCTGATGTTGTGTGAGTACATCTATATATGTGCCTCTCTTGATTAGTATGTGTGTATGCATGTCTGTGCATATATATGCGTCTGTCTATGTGTGAGGGCATCTATATGTGTGTCTACCTATAAAAAGTACAGTTTTACAGTTGATAAATTGTTCTCTAGTAATACAACACATATTTTGACTGGGTATATTTATCAATAGGCAAAAAAGGATGAGGATAATATATTTGTCTTTTTCTGTGATTGACTTTATGTGTGTTTGTGTCTCTGGTATGCATGAATGTGTCTCTATGTATTTAACATTGAATTTCTTTTTATATACACGTCTCTATTTCTTTATCAATATGTATAAATCTGTAGTTGCAAGAGTCTGTGTTACTCTGTGCATGTATCTCTGAATTTTGTTTTTTAAGTAATGCCACAAAAAGCCAAATGTTAATAAATGTATATTTCATAGTATGTATAAGTATCAATATCGTGTTTTGGTGCATTTCATTCCCTCTGGGGTAGGAAGGAATGAAGCAAGGCTTGGCATTGGTAGGAAAGGGATGGGGAAAAAAAGTGTATCTAAAGAAAGAAACAAGGTATAATTGTGAAAAAGGAATGGTCACACAATGGCATGTCCCAAAAAAATTGCACCCAGGTAATACAAACCGTAAACCCAACCCTGAATGTATGCAATTGCTCACCATATCATTCAATATTGCAGACTGAGCATTATGCATAATAAGAAGCTGAGGGGTGAGCAAAGCTAACAAATGATTGATCAGTATAAAAAGTTCATGCAAAAATATATTGATTTATACAAAAGCAAACAAGGTGTGATGTCACCTGTAATTATGATGTGAGTATTTGTGGAAGGAAATATATTATTTATTAATTATTTAAGATTTATGCACAAGTGGGTGAAAATTCAGAAAAGTGATATATAAATTTTATTTTGGGAACAAATCGGGACGGAATAAATTAGTAAACGTGCTATATGAAAATACAGAACAAACTTTTACAAAATGCATTCTGTCACACATAGATAATTATTGCTCGGGAAAAGAAGCTTAACACTTTCATCAACCCAAAAAACATGTGTACAGACACATGTTGTCAATTCAAAATGCACAAATTGATTGTTGTGTCTGGGAAAAGATGATAAATAAACAAGTAGGAGAGGGTGGCACAGCCTGTGGGGAGATCAAAGATCTCCCTCACCAGCCAGAATAATTTCATGCCTAGAGAGTTGGTCGCTTTGGCCAGCCCACACAAGAAGGAGACATGCCTGCTTGTTTGTCTTCCTGGTGGGCTCCTGAGCTTCTGCATGAATTGGAGGAGAGTGGGTGGGGCATGACATCACTGACATAACCCCTGTGCATCTTCCTCCATGCATGTATGGGAGAGAGAGGGGATGAAAAAGAAGGCAATGCAAGCAACAGCAATTGCCCTTCCCTAAATGTATCTGCCCTTCTAACCATCCAATCTAGCTAGAGGTCAGTGCCAGCAATCAGTCTGGTACCTGCCCTGCCAGCAGCAGCCTGTCTTGCCTAGCCCAGGGGCCAGCCACCTGTGCACATTAAGGTCAGTCTGTCTGCATGGATCAGTGTGTGTCTGAATGGATCAGTGTGTGTTTGTCTGCATTGATTTGTGTGTGTCTGTATGGATTAGTGTGTGTCTGCATGGGTCAGTGTGAGTGTCTGTATGCATCAGTGTGTGTCTGCATGGTTCAGTGTAAGTGTGTATGTGTCTGCATGGGTCAGTGTGAGTGTCTGAATGCATCAGTGTGTGTCTGCATGGTTCAGTGTAAGTGTGTATGTGTCTGCATGGGTCAGTGTGAGTGTGTCTGCATAAGATCAGTCTGCATTTCTGTATGGAACAGTGTGTGTCTTCATTGGTCAGTGTGTGTCTGCATGGATCAGAATGTGCGTCTGCATGGGTCGCTGTGTATGTCTACATGGTCAGTGTGTGTCTGCATAGGTCAGTGTGAGAGTGTGTTTCTGCATGGGTCAGTGTGCATCTGCATAGGTCAATAAATGTACATGAGTCTTCACAAAGGCCAAAGATTTCATTAAAAAAGAAAGACACTACTACTTTTAAATTGTGGTAGAGTATTGCCTAAGTGTATATATGTATATATGTAGACATGCATTTTAGTAATTGTGTATTATATTAATATGTATATGTACTATATATATAAATGGAGAGACTGCGGGTTATTGTTATTGAGAAAACTGGCCTTGGGGCAGCAAGGAGGGTAAATTCAAGCCTGAACAAGCAGCATTACTTTAGAAACATAGAAACATAGAATGTGATGGCAGAAAAGAACCATTCGGCCCATCTAGTCTGCTCAATTTTCTAAATACTTTCATTAATCCCTGGCCTTATCTTATAGTTAGGATAGCCTTATGCCTATCCAACGCATGCTTAAACTCCTTTACTGTGTTAACCTCTACCACTTCAGCTGGAAGGCTACTCCATGCATCCACTACCCTCTCAGTAAAGTAATACTTCCTGAAATTATTTTTAAACCTTTGTTCCTCTAATTTAAGACTATGTCCTCTTGTTGTGGTAGTTTTTCTTCTTTTAAATATAGTCTCCTCCTTTACTGAGTTGATTCCCTTTATGTATTTAAATGTTTCTATCATATCCCCCCTGTCTCGTCTTTCCTCCAAGCTATACATGTTAAGGTCCTTTAACCTTTCCTGGTAAGTTTTATCCCACAATCCATGAACCAGTTTAGTAGCCCTTCTCTGAACTCTCTCTAACGTAACAATATCCTTCTGAAGATACGGTCTCCAGTACTGTGTACAATACTCCAAGTGAGGTCTCACCAGTGTTCTGTACAATGGCATGAGCACTTCCCTCTTTCTACTGCTAATACCTCTCCCTATACAACCAAGCATTCTGCTAGCATTTCCTGTTGCTCTATTACATTGTCTGCCTACCTTTAAGTCATCAGAAATAATCACCCCTAAATCCCTTTCCTCAGATGTTGAGGTTAGGACTTTATCAAATATTCTGCACTCTGCCCTTTGGTTTTAACGTCCAAGATGCATTATCTTGCACTTATCCATATTAAATGTCAGTTGCCACAATTCTGACCATTTTTCTAGTTTACCTAAATCATTTGCCATTTGGCTTATGCCTCCTGGAACATCAACCCTGTTACATATCTTAGTATCATCAGCAAAAAGACATACGTTACCATCAAGACCTTCTGCAATATGACTAATAAAAATATTAAAGAGAATGGGTCCAAGTACAGATCCTTGAGGTATCCCACTGGTGACAAGTCCAAGCTTTGAATATATTTCATTGACTACAACCCTCTGTTGCCTGTCAATATTGGAATACAAACGTAAAGATTGCAGTTTATTGATAAGCCTTCTATGTGCAACAGTGTCAAAAGCCTTACTGAAATCTAGGTAAGCACCACCCTGATCTATAATTTTAGTTACCCAATCAAAAAACTCAATAAGATTAGTTTGGCATGATCTCCCTGAAGTAAACCCATGTTGTCTCTGATCTTGAAATCCATGTGTTTTTAGATGGTCAACAATCCTATCCTTTAACAGGGTTTCCATCTCTTTCCCCACTACTGAAGTGAGGCTTACTGGCCTATAGTTGCCCGACTCCTCCCTATTACCTTTCTTGTAAATGGGCACAACATTCGCTAACTTCCAATCTTCTGGGACTACTCCTGTTAACAATGATTGGTTAAATAAATCTGTTAATGGTTTTGCTAGTACACCACTAAGCTCTTTTAATAGCTTTGGGTGTATTCCATCAGGTCCCATTGACTTATTTGTCTTTACTTTTGACAGTTGAAATAGAACCTCTTCCTCTGTAAACTCACGTGTAATAAATGACTCATTTATCATTTTTCTTAACTGAGATCCCTTTCCTTCATTTTCATCTGTAAATACAGAACAAAAATATTCATTGAGGCAGTCAGCTAGACCTTTATCCTCTTCTACGTACCTTCCTTCTTTTGTTTTTAATCTAACTAATCCTTGGTTTACTTTTCTTTTAATCTTACTAATCTAACTAATCCTTGTTTTACTTTGACAGAATATAACAAGGAATCCAAGTGCATAATAACTAACTCACTAAAACTGTTCACTTGTAGCAAAGATTCCAATAGTTTGAGATGATCATCAATACGTGATGCATGAATGAATTGCTAGCAAATCATTATATACAACAAGAAAAAATATAAAGTATAGAACAAATGGAAAAGGAGGTGGTCACCTTGTGTTTCACGCAAGTCAATAGAAAATGATGCCCTACGCAGACACTGACTGACATGCATGTTGATGATCTGAAGAAGCAATTTGGAATCAGCATTGACTCAAGTTTCAACATGACCTTAAGGATTACAGCTAGGACTGTGCTTACCAATGGCAGGCAGAGAACAGATGATCAAGTTATAAAACCTCAGCATAAAAGGGAATCACTTAAAGACCTCATGCCAAGTATACGTGTGCTTATTCAACCTTTGGCTCAGATACTTCTTGTATAAACCATCCTCCTCTTGTTAACTCATTATTATATCAATTATGTAAATATAAATGTTTCTTAAAAGTCATGTGCGTGTTAATCTTTTATAGAAATACTTGATGAATGAAAAGCTTTAGACATTATCCAGTATATCTTATTTTTGAATATTTCACATAGGGTCTGAAATGTTTGTTTTAAAGCAGCCATTTTTCTCACATACAGTTATATGACAAAATTAGATAAATAAAATAAAAAAATATCTCTCATAAAGATATCTGTAAGCATACTGAGGGCATACATACCAGTATACCTTACTGAAAGGACAATAGAATACAAAAAGAATGTCTGCATTTGAGCATAACACCAACATTCAGTAATACACCTAAATAATGTTGTTCTAAAAAAAAAAAGGTTATTTTAAAAATGTTATAACAATCTACAGCAATCTCTCTATTGCTAATAGGAGCTGTCATTCATTAGAGATTTCAGTCACTTCTCAACCTTCCCTGACTGAATGGGAATGGTATGATCTTGAAGCTTCCTTTATTTTTTTATTTATTAAATATTTTACCAGGAAGGATACATTGAGATTTCTCGTTTCCAAATATGTCCTGGGCCCACAAACACTGCATTGTTACAATACAATATTACAAAAAATAATACAACATACTATATATATATATATATATATATATATATATATATGTGTGTTGAGGCCGTTTGGCCTGTATTTGTGGAAAGGGCTGGAATTAAACCACTCCCCTATATAAGGTGCATCCCTTACCTGTCTCCACACCATTCAAGGTCAGCTTCTGAATGCACTTCCGGTTCATCCAGTCGCCATTTTGGAATACTTCTGTGTCCCACAAGGTTTCCATCGCTGAACAGTGTCCAGGAATCCTTCTGCAGATTTCTTTGGAGCAACTACTGCTTACTATTGCCGCGGATCACGTCCTAGTGACTACTAAACAGTAAGTAGACCTAACCGTCACGCCAGGCAACAAGGCCCATGGCATCAAATACGGTTCAGGTCCTCACTTACTGTACGTGTTCGGCTATTTCAGCACTCAAATATCGCTATGTTATATCCGTCCGGGTTCAGCTGTTCGCTTACACAGCATTTTCGTTGCAACGTTCGGTACTTATATGACATATAATTAATCGCTAATAATTTTGCATACATGCTTACGTTCGTGCGGTCAAACGCACGAACACGCTATACAAATACATGTTACTGATTCTTCAATATATGCACAAGCTGGTGGACCTGGGGAACAAATATGGTGGATCTGCTTTTTATGACTACCATAGGTCTTTTTCCACTAAAGTGTCTGGAGCTCTCTCTCAGTATGGTACCCGTATCAACTGGAGCAGATTAGATACAGAGCTGTTCTGTAGACACTTCGCAGGTCTCAAAACACCGGCTTGTGCATCTTGTTCTTCTACCACTCATACTACCAATTTCTCACATGGCAGACGACCGTAATCAGTCACCTATCACAAGCTACGCGGGTAGAAACGAGAAAATCACCAGGGACAAACTGGGTCGTCCTATCATTTTCTTTGGTAAATCGCAAGTGTGCAATAATTTAAATGTGGGCACATGTAGCTTTAGTGCATGTAGGTTACTGCATATTTGTTCACATTGTTTTAGGGCACATGCGCATACCATGTGTCCAAATAAAATGTATCCTAAACCGTACCTAACGTCTGTTAACATTCATGTTTTTGCAGCACTTTTAACCAATCACCCTTCCAGACATATGGTAAATTTTCTCAGAGGGGTTTCATACAGGCATTATACATATGCCCACAGGCCAACTCGAATGCCCTAATTTACAATCAGCATAACAAAACCCAGCAGCCATAGACACACTCCTAGCCCAAGAGCTGGCAGAAGGGTTCCTGTTCGGGCCTTTCAAAACCCCACGTTTTACGGCATGGCGCACAAATCCCATAGGGATAGTCACGGGGAAAACTTCCCTCAAACAAAGACTCATAATAGATCTGTCAGCCCCTCATACCTCATCTACACCGAGTCTGAACTCTCTTATTCCCTCTGAGGAGTTTTCCCTGCAATATGCCACTATAGACCATGCTATTACAGCCATTATGCAAGCAGGGATCGGAGCATGGCTAAGTAAGACAGACATTACCAATGCCTTTAAGCTACTACCTATCCATCCCACACTATGGCACTTACATGGCATAAAATGGGCAGATAACTATTACTTTTTCTCCCGCTTAACCTTTGGGTCTAAAAGTAGCCCCAAAATCTTTGACACTTTTGCGGAAACATTGTGCTGGTTGTTACTTAATGTGTCTAGATGCCCCATAGTCATCCATTATCTGGATGATTTCTTACTGATTGAAGCAAACTCCCTTCCCCCCAGGAGTCTCAAAGCAACTATTAGTTTGTTTGACCACCTTGGAGTCCCGGTATCCAACAAGAAAACCGAAGGCCCAGATATAATTATTACATTCCTAGGTATACAACTAGACTCTGCCTCCATGCAGGCTAGTTTACCACAAGAAAAAATCACAAACATACTTTGCAGCATTAACCATTACATTTTGATGGGTAATTGCAACTGCAAGGAACTACAATCACTCATAGGTTCTTTGAACTTTGCCATGCGCATCATTCCTCAAGGGCGGGCTTTCATATTCAGACTTCTCTGTCTTTTTCCACATTTCAAACATGACAACTATAGACTATCCTTGGATGAGCATGCCACGGCAGACCTATATATGAGGAAAGAATTCTTGACCACCTGGAATGGTAAAAGCTTGTTCCTACCAGAATTGACTGACACGTCTCCAACAATATGGTCAGACGCGGCATCTACCACAGGTTTCGCAGCAATCTTAGGAAACAATTGGCTTTGGGGTAAGTGGCCTGCAGAAGTCTTTGACTTAGAAGGCTTTTTTTACAACCTCAGCTCTTTTTGAGATTTAACCCATTGTAGCAGCTGCCGTGGCATGGGGACATTCATGGTCAGGCTTATCAGTCCGTTGCCACACAGACAACCAAGCAACATGTCACATCATTAACAAAGGCCGCTCATCATCCTTAACAATTATGAGATTTCTCAGGAAGCTCACGTGGTTAGCAGCACGTCACAATTTTTACTTGGTCTGCTTTTATATACCAGGCATTTCTAACATAGCAGCTGACAGTCTGTCTCGTTTCAACTTTCAGGCTTTTCAGCAAGCACTCCCGTCAGCAGCAATTACAGCCACAGCCACCCCTCTGTTCCAGCAGCTAACCATGGACTAGAAATAATTATGCAACATAGCAGGGTTCTGTCCACACTGGCACTATCATCCAACACTCACAAAGCGTACAACAGAGCCTTCACACTCTTCACATGATTCCTATCTGACCACAACATAACGCATCCTTTCGTCATGACATCCATTATAGCCTTCGCTTCTTTTTGCCACCTTACATTACACTTATCTTACAACACAATCAAATTATACCTGACAGGCATTCAACATCACATGCTCACTCTACAACCCAATACACAGAGTTTCATGTCATCTTATCAGGTAAAGAATATACTTAGAGGTATTCAGAAATCCGTCCCTCCACCGCTTCCACAGAGATTACCTATAGATAACAACCTTTTCCAGTTATTATCTGACCTGTCAGACTCCAAACCTTTCCACTCTACTGCAGTCATCAAAACGGCCATGTACATAGCTTTCTACGGGTTCCTCAGGCCAAGGGAATTCACTAATATCACCGCCACTCAAAAAGACAGATGTCTGCTACGCACACACATACGCAAACACATGGATCACTACATACTGGCATTACCTCAGTCAAAAACAAGCCAGCACACACCTCCCGTGGAGATCACCTATTTTCCTACACACACCAAATGGTGTCCAGTAGCAACACTGGATTCCTATCTTTCACTTACCTCATCAATAACATCGCTACACCTATTTTCTCTCAAAGGCTCTGTACTCACTACTGCGACTTTCATGCGATACATCAGATCTCTGTTAACCAGGCTAGGTCTTAACCCTTCACTATACTCAGGTCACTCCTTCCGCATAGGGGCGGCTTCCACAGCTTCCAGCGAAAACATACCGGTACATATCATTAAGTCATTAGGGCGGTGGAAATCATCTGCCTACACAACCTACATACCGAAACCTACACAAGATTTAAGAAAGGCTTTTAAAGAAATGTCTGGTTAATTGTATAAATTGTTGACTGTATTAAATCTTTGATTATTAAATTTTTGCCCTCTTTATTTACAGGCCTACCGTATCGTCGGTATCAGCACACCACAACTGACTTTGCTCATTTATGCTATCTTATGTTCTCACTTGAACCTACTCCATATACGGCTAAATTGGCCTTTACACAAATATATATATACATACACACATATATAAATCTAATACATAGCAAGTAATAAAATAGAGTCAACTGCAGTCATCAAAACGGCCATGTACATAGCTTTCTACGGGTTCCTCAGGCCAAGGGAATTCACTAATATCACCGCCACTCAAAAAGACAGATGTCTGCTACGCACACACATACGCAAACACATGGATCACTACATACTGGCATTACCTCAGTCAAAAACAAGCCAGCACACACCTCCCGTGGAGATCACCTATTTTCCTACACACACCAAATGGTGTCCAGTAGCAACACTGGATTCCTATCTTTCACTTACCTCATCAATAACATCGCTACACCTATTTTCTCTCAAAGGCTCTGTACTCACTACTGCGACTTTCATGCGATACATCAGATCTCTGTTAACCAGGCTAGGTCTTAACCCTTCACTATACTCAGGTCACTCCTTCCGCATAGGGGCGGCTTCCACAGCTTCCAGCGAAAACATACCGGTACATATCATTAAGTCATTAGGGCGGTGGAAATCATCTGCCTACACAACCTACATACCGAAACCTACACAAGATTTAAGAAAGGCTTTTAAAGAAATGTCTGGTTAATTGTATAAATTGTTGACTGTATTAAATCTTTGATTATTAAATTTTTGCCCTCTTTATTTACAGGCCTACCGTATCGTCGGTATCAGCACACCACAACTGACTTTGCTCATTTATGCTATCTTATGTTCTCACTTGAACCTACTCCATATACGGCTAAATTGGCCTTTACACAAATATATATATACATACACACATATATAAATCTAATACATAGCAAGTAATAAAATAGAGTCAACTGCAGTCATCAAAACGGCCATGTACATAGCTTTCTACGGGTTCCTCAGGCCAAGGGAATTCACTAATATCACCGCCACTCAAAAAGACAGATGTCTGCTACGCACACACATACGCAAACACATGGATCACTACATACTGGCATTACCTCAGTCAAAAACAAGCCAGCACACACCTCCCGTGGAGATCACCTATTTTCCTACACACACCAAATGGTGTCCAGTAGCAACACTGGATTCCTATCTTTCACTTACCTCATCAATAACATCGCTACACCTATTTTCTCTCAAAGGCTCTGTACTCACTACTGCGACTTTCATGCGATACATCAGATCTCTGTTAACCAGGCTAGGTCTTAACCCTTCACTATACTCAGGTCACTCCTTCCGCATAGGGGCGGCTTCCACAGCTTCCAGCGAAAACATACCGGTACATATCATTAAGTCATTAGGGCGGTGGAAATCATCTGCCTACACAACCTACATACCGAAACCTACACAAGATTTAAGAAAGGCTTTTAAAGAAATGTCTGGTTAATTGTATAAATTGTTGACTGTATTAAATCTTTGATTATTCAATTTTTGCCCTCTTTATTTACAGGCCTACCGTATCGTCGGTATCAGCACACCACAACTGACTTTGCTCATTTATGCTATCTTATGTTCTCACTTGAACCTACTCCATATACGGCTAAATTGGCCTTTACACAAATATATATATACATACACACATATATAAATCTAATACATAGCAAGTAATAAAATAGAGTCAACCATGACAAGTGTATTTTTCAGAAACAATGTAGCCAATACCAGCAGAGGCATCAACAGTTATTAAATTTACTATTCCCCAAAAAACTCTGAATAATTGTGTTTTATAAACATATTTTGCTTATGCAGAAATCTTATGAGATTTTTAAAAAGATTTTGGTTTGGTTTGTGTCTATTTATTTGCTTAATTAAATCAAGATATTCCTTGCTGATCCTTGATCATCATTTTTTATTTAATTTTTTTTGCATTACATATTTGTTCTGGTTCAAAAACGTGTTGTTTCCATTAAAGTGGCACTGTCACCAACTGACCTCGCCACTGATGGTCTGGTGGTTGAGGAGCATGCAAAGGTAAGTTCTACTTACCTGAACCTGTAGATCGCGGGTGCCACCATCTTTTTATCTGCAGATCCTCTTCAGCATGCACGAAAGTACAGTATTGAGGTCTACGGAGGATCCCTGAGGCCACGTGATCCTCCATAGATTAAGTCAATTCCTTTCAACTAAGTTCCTTGTAGCCCAATTCCTTGTGGCTGGGGGATTGACATTTCTAGATGGCGGGAGCTCTGCTCAGTGTCTAGAAGAGTTAAGTGTAGGAAATACACAGTCCATACTTTGTCTCAGTATATCTCCTGGCTGGGTTAAAATGTCAATGAAATTCCAAACAGTCAAAATGATCATTTCATAAAGATTATATTTAAATAAAAACCAGGATCAAATTGCGCCGTTTTTGTTTCTGACAAATATTTTCTCTCCTCATATTGCTGGCTATGTGGCATGTAAGCAGCTTTTGGGTCCTTCCGTGTTTTAGTAAATGTTTTTTTTATTTCCTAATTATTACTTGTTTGTCCTCAAGTTTGTGATTCTTTTTTATTATTAAATAGTTTTTTGCAGGTCCTTTGCTCATAATCAGCGAATTACTAAAATCATAAAAAATGTACAGAGAAATTAAAAAGTAAAATGGAAAATGTATTATTTTGCTCGACTGCAGAAAAGGTGTAAAAAGCATAATTCTATAAAGGGTGGAGAAACATTTTTATACATAAGAAAATGGTGCACGTGCACAAAACCATAACAGAAGAATATAACATACTTTATGAATAACCTAATTTCTCTTTATGATTATGATTCAGATGAATATTGCTTTGTTGCACAAGAAATCAGACTATTCCAAATGGTTCACATGACTTCTCATAGTTGATGTATAGTTGTCCTTTTTAAAATGTGTCTTGTTTATGAAGGAAATAATTTATCAGTCATTGTTACAAACTGTAAGTGACTGTGGGTATGTAAAGATGCAAACGGATCCTGGGCCTGATGGCAGCATATCTCCCAACATTTCAAATGGCCAAAGAGGGGTACTTTAACTTAGGGCTGTGAGTAGGGGGGTGTTTACAGGTAGGTTGTTCTGAGACATTTTAGGTGGCTAAATGATCATATATGCAACTAAAATGTAATTCAGAAAAAACAATGTATCTTATTTACACAGATTTCTAAATAGATTTATTGTAGTTTAAAGATAAATTACTGTGAGTATTATTGCTGCAGAGCTCTGTTATACACTCAGACAATATGGAGCTCCTAGAAAAGGACATGGGGGGGGGGGAGGGGAAGACTGACAGAGGGATCTGGGCACAAAATAGGGACTATACCTCACCAGGCCACCATCAGGGTGATCGGGGGGGGAAATATATATAAAAGAAATAAACATACATATTTATAGCAAATATTGTTATATAGATACAGCTGCAAAGAGGCTATCCCTATCCCTCTCACTGTCAGAACCCTGTAGCCCCAAAGAGTAAAGTAAATAAATTATATCCTTACCAGTTAAAATGGTGCTTATTTCAAATAAACTATGGGCTTACAAGGAAGCAGACAGAGATAAGCGTTCCCCAAGTAAATATAATACATTTTATTGGCACTCGCATTTTGGGCTTAATCATATGATTATTTTGAATTTTGGTCATGTTTATCTAACCAAAAAAAGACAGATGCCAAGCAAATATATTCGTCAATGATAGATATTGTTCTACTTTTTCTTAATTTGTTTTAAGGCAGACCAAATTATTTAAAAGTAATGAGCTCCTTGTAATACACAATCTGCAACTACCAAATACAGATTGCTAACTGAAATACATTGATTTTAAGGTATTTGAGGTTTTTTTTATAGCTTCTTTGATTGCACTAAAGTTCTCATTTTTCATTTTTTAATGTATCTTGCTTTTTTAAAATATAACATTTATCCAATATTCTGTACAAATTACGCAAAAAGAACATAGGTGGGTTGATAGATGGATGAATACAATTAGACACATGCAGGGCCGGTGCTAGGATTTTTGACTACACAGGCAAAGATGCATTTTGACGCCCCCCCCCCCAAAAATAAAATAAAATACAATGCATCTTCACCTCTGTGTCTCGTAGCCCCCTTTTGAATTTCTTACCCCCATTAGTGTTGCATATCCACTCTCTTGAATGTCTTATCCCTTTGGCTCCTTTGTGCCTTACACCCCCCTTTAGTGTGTCTCCTACAACACCTCTTATGTATTTCTTACTTCCCCGCCAGCCCCTATCTATCTCTCTTTTTCTTCCACATAGACATAGATACAGGCAAAAATACATACATACACAAACATACAGACACACAACCATACAAGCACACAGACATAATTTTTCAGGCACACAGTCACAAAGATATACAGACACACAGTCATAAAAGGCACACAAACAAACACAGTCATACAATCTACACATACAGGTACATTGTCATACAAACACAGACATGCATTCATACAGACACAGGCCCTCACAGAAATACAGACAGACATAAAGAAACATAGAGATAGGCATACAGAGACATACATACACAGACAAACAAAGAACCCTGCACACTGATACCGTGTAAATGCTCCGGCCATCAACAGTGGTGGATGCTCCGTGTCAGGCGGACATCGCTGGATCCACCAGTAAAGTCTTCAAAAGGAATAAACGCAGGCAACACTCCAATAGTAAGGATGGTATATTTATTGGTAGGTGAACCACCCCATAGAAAGTGTGATGTTTCAGCTCATGCAATAAGGCTCTGCTGAGCTGAAACAACGCACTTTCTTTGGGGTGGTTCACCTATCAATAAATATACCATCCGTACTATTGGAGTGTTGACTGCGTTTATTCCTTTTGAATACATACACACAGTCATACAGAGACATGCATACTGTATGTCTCTGTATGACGGTCTGTGTATGTACACAGGATGGCTAAAAGATAGATCCCCATCTGTCGTGCAACTTCAACAATGCTTTGAAAGCTGGGGCTCTACCGATTCCCCATGCTTGCAGTATTGTATTTAGCATGGAGCAGTATTTGTGTGTTTGACTGTAAGCATGTGTTTGTATGGAGTATGTTTGTATGATTGTAGCGGTGTGTTTGTATGTACTGTTTGCATTTGAATGCAAGCATGCATTTATGTGTAGTGTTGGTTTTTGAACGTAGGTGTGTGTTTATATATAATTTTGGTGTCTGATACAGAGGTGTGTTTGTATGTAGTGTTGACATTTGAATGCAGGTGTGTGTTTGTATGTAGTGTTGTTGTTTGCATGCAGGTGTTTATTTGTGTGTAGTGTTGGTGTTTGAATGCTGAGATATATGCACATATAAACATACACTGCCACACACGCACACACTGTGATACACATACACAACGATACACACACTGACGCACATGCAGATATACATATACACAAACTGATACACATTCAGATAGACAGACACACATATACAGATACACACAAACACTGACAGACATACAGATAAACATACACTGACATACAGACACGCTGACAGACATACAGATACACACATACACAATGATAGACATACACAAACACACAAAGACACACAGACATACACACACTGACAGACATTTAGATACACACAGACACACGGACAGAGACATTTACATACACACACACACTGACAGACATAGATACACACACACTGACAGACATATACAAACACACTGACAAACATACAGATACAGACATACACAATGATAGACATACACAAAGACACACTAACAGACAGACATACACACACACTGACAGACATTTAGATACACACAAACACACGGACATATACATATACATACACACACACTGACAGACATAGATACACACACACTGACAGACATATACAAACACACTGACAAACATACAGATACACACATACACAATGATAGACATACACAAAGACACACTAACAGACATACACACACACTGACAAACATTTAGATACACACAAACACACGGACAGAGACATATACATACACACACACTGACAGACATAGATACACACACACTGACAGACATATACAAACACACTGACAAACATACAGATACACACACACACTGACAGACATGGATACACACACACACACACTGACAGACATAGATACACACACACACACACTGACAGACATGGATACACACACACACACACACTGACAGACATGGATACACACAGACACACCTACCAACAGGTTCAGGAGGGTGGCTTACCTGGGATCCAAAGTGCTGCCTGAGGTAGTTGGGAGTTGGAGGAGCTGGTCCTGCCCAGCCCCCCTCCTCTCTGCCTTCTGCTGCTCTAGTCTTCTTGGGAGGACTTCCTCCCATGCTGATTAGAAGGGGGGCGGTGGTAGCTCCGCCCCTGCTGGGCGCCAGCCGCGCTGTGTGCTACAGAGGGAGCAGGGATATGACGTTCATATCCCCGCCCCCTCCACACAGTCCGCGGCACTGCAGGGTGGCGCTCGGCCACACTACAAGAAGTGACCGGCAGGAGAGGGGAGCTGTGCGCTTCCCTCCTGCCGGTCACCCGGACATTTGCGCCCCCGGGCCGGTGCGCCCTAAGGCGGCCGCCTGTGCCGCCTTATGGACGCGCCGGCCCTGGACACATGGATACATGAATAGAAATTCCTGCCCATGAGATTTCTAGAAGACTAACATGCTTTGTGGCAAAAGGTAAAATGTAAATTCAGATGGAAATATAACCATTATATTCTCTTTGCTAATTTGTTCTGCTGTAAACCTTAATGCAGTTTGTTAATTATTTTTTTTTTTGTACCTTATAAAGACAGGGTTTGCAGGGTGGTTAACAGGGAAAATGGGACATTGAGGTGAAACAATGTTGAGAGAGGAGGAAAGGAATAATTTGTAGAAGAATCAGCCCCTTTGAGTGTGATGAAAATGAAGGCAGAGAAGATGAAACTCAGAAAATGGGAAGGTTGGAAAAGTCAATAGACCATTGTGGAAAAGTCAAGGGGCCTGTGATTCTTGTGTTTAATGTAGACATTTTAGGTGAGAGTAAAAAAGAAAAGGGGGTTGATTGAAATATGAGATAGTGTACGAAATATTTTATCAGAAAGAATATGGTGTCTTCATTAGGCAACTATATATCAACTTGATGTCAAGAAGATGAGGTCAACATTCACACTATGAATGTGTGATAGTGAAAACTGAGACAGAGACCAACAGATGACATAGGAGAAAATTAGATGTGTTTAGGCAATCGTCACGCAGTAAATTAAAGCCATTAAGAATGATAAGTGGGTAGTTAAGGTGAAGGAAAGAGAGCATATTAAATAGTGCAAGTCATCATGGTAACATGGGCATGTAGAAAAATAAGAGCTGTGGGTTTGAAAGGAGGAGAAGTGAATAAAGGTGATTGTGTTTTGATGCAGGAATCCAGGAATAAGATATAAAATAAGGCATATCTACCCCCAGATAGATGTCCAGTGTAGGAGAAAAGTGATAAATGTAAGGCAGGTGGGTGTTGCCATGTTTGTGGGAAGAATTAATGAGTCAGTTACATTTCAAATTTATATAAATCAATGTGAAATTTTTATCACATGTTCAAATTCTGTGAAAATTGTTAAAACACAATCTTTCAGAGCTGCTGTGTCGTGTCCAATGGATGTTATGTTGCATATAAAAGCAGGGCTTTTGTTCTATACCAGTAGATGTTATTTTAACCCCTTAGTTATCAGACTGTTTTTCAATTTTCTTAACATTAAGGACCAAGGCTGTTTTAAAATTTCTGCCGTGTTTGTGTTTAGCTGTAATTTTGCTCTTACTCATTTACTGTACCCACACATATTATATACTGTTTTTCTCGTCATTTAATTGTCTTTCTAAAGAAACCATTATTTTCATCATACAATCTATTTTACCTTAAACAAATTACAAAATATGATGAAAAAATAAAAAAAACACTTTTTCTAACTTTGACCCCCAAAATCTGTTACGCATCTACAACCGCCATATACACCCATGCTAAGTAGTTTCTAAATTTTGTCCTGAGTTTAGAAATACCCAATGTTAACATGTTCTTAGCTTTTTTTTTTATAGGGCAATAAGTACCAGTAGCACTTTTTTTTTTCTAAATTAACACATTACATTGTAACACTGATATCTGTCAGGAATCCCTGAATATCCCTTCACATGTATATATTTTTTAAAGGAAGACAAACTAAGGTATTAAACTTGGGATGTTTTGACTATTTTCATGCAACCATTTTACCACCAATCTATGCCAAATTTAAAAGAAAAAATAATAATTGGTGATTTTTTTTGACACACATAGCAATTTAAGAATATATGTACTGAGAACTTTAAGGATTACTGCCAAAGAACACCCCAATATGTGTTCAGCAAGATCTCCTGAGTACAGTGATAACACCTATGTATAGGTGTGTCAGGTTCTCTGGGGACTAAAACACCTTATTTGGAGGGTGCGCATTCCAGTTTTCCAACTTAGAATTTTCACAGCTGGTCATGCACCCATGTCATGACATTTTTAAAGTCGGCCAATGTAATTTATCCCCATCAAACCATATATTTTTGAAAAGTAGATACCCTAGGGTATTTCAAATGGCGGTATTTTAACACTTTCCATGCACTAATTCCACCACCAGTCATTGTCAAACGTTTTGGTAGTAATTTTTTGTATGTAATTTTTATTTCACTTTGTACTTTAGGCATGCATTCTCAGTTCCTGTTATGTGTTACTGGCAAAGAACACCCCAATATATGTTCAGCAACATCTCCCGAGTACAACACTACCCCAATATACAGATTTTATGGGTTTTTGCAAACTTACAGGGGTTAAATGTAGGGTTTTCCCCTTTTCCATATTTGCACATTGAAATTTGCCAGATTAGTTTGCTGGGCCTATGTTGCCTTTGAGATCGTATAGCAGCCCAGGAATAAAAATTAACCCCATCATGGCATACCATTTGTAAAAGTAGACAACCCACGGTATTCAAAATGGGGTATGTCCAGTCTGCTCCAATCTATTACTAACATAAAAAGCCTCTCTGACCCTGCCACAATATATATATAAATAAATAAATGTGTTGTGAGTGTATACACATACACACACAGACACACTTTTATTTCCTATGTATCTATATAATAAAATAATTAAAGCATTTTATAATATATTATACATATAATGCATATATATGATTACATTATAAGTGTATTTTGAGATATATGTGTATGTATACTATATTTTATTATTTTATTAAAAAAAATCTACTTTTAGGTGTCAAGGAGACTCCCTGACAGCACAGGCAGTCCCCCTGCTGGCAGCTCTATAGACTGCTATTGCGGCCATGTGATCATGGTGATCACATGGCCCTGGAGAGCCACAGTGAACGGAGCTACTGCAAGGGGACTGCTGGGGTCTCGGGCAGTCCCCCCCGACCAGAATTGCCGCGGATCGCTGGTCCAGGTAAGTCCAGTGGTGATTTTTGCCAGTACGTCCGCAGTCGGGAAGGGGTTAAAGAGATTTGTGGATAGTGAAAGATTCATATTTTTTATTCTCATACAATGAACTGAATATCCCTTTGTATATGATTTTCATATGATATGGGCAGTACAGGGAAAGTGGACACAATTTGAGTGGCAGGTCATGACACTGGAGACTTCCTTAACCATTTGTTAGGTGGAAGAGTTCTTAAGAAGACACAAGTCAATCCTCTGCATTGCATAGTCTTTATATTATGCATGCACATGAGTGCATAAAGAGGTCTAAAATGTGTTAAAATAAGTTCTTAATGTGTTCTTCACATTTGAATATATATATAAAGGCAGTGTATGAATAATATGGTATTATAAATATATTATCATCTATTTAACACCCACCTATATCTTTATTTCAGCAAAGAAGATGAAGCGGATGACTTGGATGAATTTGAAACAAAGAACTTCAGAGCGACAGGTACAGAACAAAAATGTTACCTCCTTGTAACCCTGTAAACTAGCAATGCGTTCTTATTTATCGTCATTCCAAATTATTTTTCAGAGAAATTCATCCCAAGGATAATTTGTTCGCAGGATGATGTTACTGATGATGATAACGTTGAAGAGACTGATAATATCAGAGAACAAAACAATGGATCAGAAAATGAGCTGGAACTGTTTGTAAGTTTTTTTGGGGGGGATATTGGACATGTCATTGCTTCGATTTTTAATGCAATTTTTTATAAATTGGACCAATTTTCTTCCTTTTCATTTAAATGTGTTTTTGAAAAGATAAAGATAGATTTTTTTTTTCTTTTCTATTTCACTTCAGTCATTGTTGGAAGTTTTTTTTATTGTTACTGGATTTTGTATACTCCAAGATTAATTTAGCATTTATACAAAACACGGGCTTTATTGTGTTGTGTATAATAGGCACATTCAACTTATTCTTACTATTTATTTGGTTAATATAAAATGGTTCTATTGTTCAGTTTATAGTTTTTAGTGCATTGTGAATTGTGTTTTTTTTTTTTTAGATCATATTTTGTTCCGTTTTATGCTAATTACCATTTCTTTTCATTCCATTTCCCTGTCATTGAGTAACAATGAATTAAATTTCAATACTAGATGAGAACAGATATGTAAACACAGATAGAAGTTGTTTTTTTATGATTCAGTGCTATATAACAGATACTTTAGTGTTAATAATAGGCTGCCATGCCCTCTGTCTTCCAAAATCCTTCAGCGCACATTCAAGGTACCTTTAGTAGAATGCTTTCAATATTTAGATCTCTGTCCATTTTGCAATCAGAGGCTATTCAGATCTATGTTTACTACTGTATTCAAAATCCATCGGACCTAGTCCTTCGCTAAACATCAACTTCAGAGCTCACAAAGTTGTTGTTTTTTTTGTTTGTTTGTTTTTTAACATTCAACAACAATAATGGGGGTTTAGTTACAGTATCTGATCAAGCAGCACCATTAATTATTACCGTGAGCTAAAAAGCTATTTAATTTAAAAAAAATATGCTAGCTATATAAACCTGCCCAAGATCTGACCTTGGTTATCTCCAGTGAGTGAATATTTACGTAGGTAGCCATTACCTAAACTGCAGAGGATTTTCTGACTATTTAATAACAGGTGTAGTAAGTAAAACATTTTATTTCATTTACTGTTTGTTTACACATGCTTGCGTAAAATACTATGCAATCGATACATACAAAATAAAAATCATATAGATATAAAGACAGAGTATTAGTATGCAGGAGTGGCTAACAATGCCAAATGTTTCATAACAAACTAATAATCACATTTAAACATTTAAACGAGCAAATGTTTAAACACAAGACATCCAAGGCAAGTGTACAAGTTCAGAATGATCTTATAACCTCTATTAGTGTTTGACACCAGATTGATATATCAGCTCTTAATATTCTAATTGGCTTGGGTATCACACATATGTAATAAAGACAAAATTGTGCCTCGTACCATCTACCAGATATGCTTAATAGGAGAAACAAAGAAATAATGTAAATATCGGAAAGTATAGCATAGCTAGCATATGAACATACTTACCCTGCGTAAGTGATCATCATATACGACAACACAAGAAATCTGAAACCAGAATTATGCATTGCATCCCTCCACGCAGTTGGTCTTTTAACCACTTCATGACAAATGAATGTCATACTAAATGGGATTTGCCTAACCCTTCGTCATGAAGAAGTTAAATGTGCATCACTGCTGTAAATATCTGCAAAGTGCTTCAAACTTCTACCAGACCTGTTATAGCATTATGTGTGCCGGGTTAAGAATCTACAATGTACAGCGCTATGGAATTTGCTGGTGCTATATGAATAAAATAATAATAATATTCATAGTTGTTGATTTTGGTTTGTCATAGCTTTGTTAGTGCAGTGATTAATGTTTGCAGATATTGCATCTGTAAGGTTTATTTGATTTTGCAAAGGCTCCAAAACAGTTTAAAAATAAATAAATAAATAAATTACTGGATTAAATATGTACCAACCTATACGCAACCTGCTGAAACAGCAAGGAGAGCACTATATTAATGATATCAGTTCTAGTCAGCATGCTGTATTTAATAATTGCCTTTTCTGCAAACCCACCATGCACTCTAACGTCTCTCTTTTCTAACCCCATTATACCATGTCTTAAACAGCAAGGAAGAGACTTGCTGATGCACTTTTTACTGACAATATTATATGCTGGTATGAGGCCACACTGGTAGGTGTTGTTCCAGAATATTGTGGCTGTGTTTTTTTTCCAATTTCTATTGTTGTAGCCTGCCATAGAGGTGTAGCTTGATTACTGGCACCAGAGCAGGTTATATGTTGGCATCCTCCACACAAAATTGTAAATTGTTTTGTGTGTTGATCAGCACCCCACCATTACCCTATTGTATGTATCTACTAACCACACGTGTGTGTCTTTCCTAGTCCCTTTTTACCCTCGTGCCCAGTTATGGTCCCCTTAGATGGTATGAACCTATTATGAGTGTAAACACACATTCATACATAAATTCATATACATATATTTGCAAACAAATATACAGACACTTGAGCCTTTCTTTTCCTACCAAGAGTGGAGGCTATACTTTGTGTACTCCCTGCCCCCTGTCATTCTGGGCAGACCATGTCGATCCCCATTTCTATGATACTGGCTTGCCATTTGAACATCACCATCTTTGCACCTTCACACTTCTTAGCTAAAGTGATCTACCAGTACTACAATTCAGTATATTACTGCCAATAACATTACTACTGAATATATTGGTTCTGACAACGAATAGAACTCTTAGTAAAGCTTTTGTTTTCTATCCATACTTTTCTCTGCAGTAGATATCCTAGAACTATCAAAGAAATCCCAGTCTTTGGGCTTCTACTAATGAAGTCACTATATTACATTAACCGTTTTGCATGTAGTCTTGAATCTTGATTTGATCTTGCAACCATAATAATAATATTAATAATAAGTAAAACAATCAACAGAGCAGCTAACAGGTTTTGATTGCTTTTTTTGTGTCAAATTCTGAATTTGAAGGACTCTTGTCATATCATGTATAATTCAGCAAATGTTGGACCTACTGTATCACCAGCCCTTCTTCTTGTGTTAAGCAGACTTGCATCTGAAACCTTAATGCCTTTTATGAGTGTGAATTAAAGGAGATCATAAAACACGTCATTTAAACTCAATAATCAAAAACTAAAAGAATGCGTTGGGTATAACTGTACTTTCATCAAAGTGGTTAGAACAAATAGAAAGCTACAATTTCTGTGGAAATTGTGTGAAGTGTTCTTGCCTCCACCTGTAGTCTACAACTGGAGTGGGCGAAGTAACTGTTATCATTTATCATGTCCTGATTTTTCAGCTTTTGCCAGCTCCCACTCTAGCTTTGCCATTCATTCCTATGGGACAAATTGCGCCACAAAAACGACGATATTCCATGAACCATTCGGCGAAACGTTCCACAAAGTAATAGCAATCCGATCGGGAACAATCTGCACGTTTTGGTAAATTTTGGTCTATGTAGTGTAAAAACTGTGGGAGGAGTTAGGGTGGCAAATTTGGCTATAATAAGAATAATAATATATATGTGAGATAACAATAAGTGGTCTTGCTATGCAAGAACACTTAATATATATGTGAGATAACATTAAGTGGTCTTGCTATGCAAGAACACTTAATAACTAGAAAAGCTACAATTTCTGGGGAAATTGTGTGAAGTGTTCTTGCCTGCACCAGTAGTCTACAACTGGAGTGGGCGACGTAACTGTTATCATTTATAAAACACATTTAATTGCAACGTTGTTGCACAGTTACATTAAACCATACATTTATAAAACATTAGCAGGTGTTCAAAAGGCCCTGTCTATGACATCACTTGCTGCTGCAGCCTGACACAGGTCAGAGTATTTTGACGGTTGCCATCTTCAAACGGTCGTATCTTAAAAACTATAACTCCTACAGCGAAGAGCTTTATATTGTGAGAATCACAAGACCCAGACCTACATTTTGATGCATAGTATGTCTCAGAAGTATTAAGAATGAAGGCACAGTCGCAGTTTAGAAATTGCACTTCAAATTTGAGCTTTGCAGAGTGAAGTTTCAATGAAAGTCAAGGGACGGCGTTAGTTGCAAACAAATGGTATATTGTGAAAACTATCAGGACTATGGCTTAGCCGTTGACATGTTTAGTGGCAGCAGGGATAGCTGAACATTTTGATATAAGATTTGTGTAGGTGGGCCTGAAAATAAGGTAGTGGTGGCAGTTTAGAAATCATGTCCTGATTTTTCAGCTTTTGCCAGCTCCCACTCTAGCTTTGCCATTCATTCCTATGGGACAAATTTCGCCACAAGAACGACGATAGTAATAGCAAAGTAATAGCAATCCGATCGGGAACAATCTGCACGTTTTGGTAAATTTTTGTCTATGTAGTGTAAAAACTGTGGGAGGAGTTAGGGTGGCAAATTTGGCTATAATAAGAATAATAATATATATGTGAGATAACAATAAGTGGTCTTGCTATGCAAGAACACTTAATAATAGATATGTGAGATAACAATAAGTGGTCTTGCTATGCAAGAACACTTAATAAACTACATTTGAATGCACTGTGCAGTGCATTCTGATCACCTGGTCTTTCAACATTTTATGTCTTCTAAGAATAGAGTGTAGACAGAGAGTAGATTAATGTAAAGTGTGACCTACTCTTTGATGAGATCTTCTAGGAGAGGTCTATAAGGCTTTATGTAAGATAACGTAAAAAAAAATGTTTTCTCCTCACATAATTATGACATTGCTAGAAATAAATCAGGATACTACTAGGAAAATTATGAAGCATTTCTTGCACAAAGACAGTGTCAGTTTGTGCCACAAACTTGTTATATTAGATGTTTCATACAGACAGTGACAAAATTGATATAATGTTGCTGGGTTTGCCATGATTGGTGAAGAATTCTAGACATTTGTAAAACTCCCCAGGGAAAGTGATTACCAGAACAGTCAGCCCCAGTGATCACATACCTTAATTTAAAGCAGATCTGTAACCTTCTGGAGTCTTTTCATATTTTGCAAAGACACTTTATGGTGACATTGCCACTTGGTTTAAAGTCCCCCTGTGTGAAGGTAGTTTTTAGTTACCTGAGGCTGTCCCTTGTAGCCTCCACCATCTCCATCTAGGGGGTCACCTTCAGCTCCTGGTTCTTTATCTGCCAGGAACCCATGTCAGTACTATACTCTAAAGCATGTGCTAGAGTACAACACTGATGTCTATGTAAGATGCCACGAGACAGCAGGAGGCTTCATAAACAATGCAATATTCCTCACAGGTGTGACACTATGCTTTTTGTCAATCTTTGTCAAATACATAAGATAAAGTAGCAGCTACTTTGTCTTTACAATATATTTTGAAGGTGCTTAAATTTAATTGCAATTCCATTTTTTTTTAATGGGGGGCAGGGGGAGTGACAGAGCTTTGTTAAGCTTGTACATTCTACTAGTAAGAAACATGTAAACATGTACCATGCTATTACTGGACTTTTCAGCACTGAGATTTTCCACTAAAAGCACGAAGGAGATCTTACAAGCATAGGGTCTCTGTGTTTCCTCCTGATCATATCCCACAAGTAAAGCTGTTGGTTGCAACAGGCAATGTTAACATCATCTGTCAGTAGCCTGGCTGCCTTTGTATTGAAGAAGCCCACCAATAATGCCAGATTGGCTTCTGGGTTGTTTGATCCCGGTTATGACGTGCCTTAACTGATAGCAATATATGTGAATAAAAATACAGCAAAATCTGGTGTACTCCTTTTGGTTTACTAGGAGATGTTCTGGGAGTAAATACCGACCGTAAAATAGAGTTATTAAATGGAACACCCTCAGTATAAGCTATTTGAGAGTAGCTTTAGTTGTTTATCAGGTAAATACAATACACCTTATCCATGGAAGAGCTCACTACAAAATTTAGTGGCTCTATGCGAGCTACATACACAACAAGATCTTTCGTGGTGTACCTTCTTGGCTCAGGCCCCCTAGGTCGAACACACCAGCCACACATTTATTATTTTTTTATTAATCCCACTTTCTTGTTTTTTTTTAACAAACCTTCTCTGTTTCTTGCTCTCCTCCCTCACTTTCGAAGTTTATTCGTATCTTTTTTTCTCACTTTTTTCTTCTTAAATTTGAAGATATTTATTTTAACTTTCCTTATAATCCAGGTCCAACAAAAGCCTTTTCTATAATTAAAAAATAAAATAAACCTAAAGGTTCTCTCTTTATTGCAAAAATGGTGTCCCTGTCCTTTGGTCTATTTTTAATGTGTTTGCAGGGCAGTCACCAAGGTTGGCTCATCTTTTGTTTTGGATGTACATCGAGTCCCATGTCTGTGATTAGTCGATTCAACCTTCATTTTATGTTCTCTTCGTTAAGAATGAACTAGCCAATAAAAATACTCCAAATACCATATCTAAGATAGATGAATGTTATACCATGATGGAAGCAAAGTACTGTTGGGGCTACTGTTTTTCTGCAAAATCGATCAATCAATTAATCAAAATTGCAACAGTAAAATAAAAAATTAAATTGACATAGCTGTAATTAGATCCTATAACACCAAGGGCTTACAGTTAAGTAATACTCACCTGACTTTAGAAATAATTTTTTTTAATTAACACAGTTAAACATTCCACTGTTTTACATTATACAAAAAATACAATATTCGTATTTTATAATACAAATATAATACTATATTAGTATCTAATAATATAATATGTAGTAATACTAAATTGGAAATGTTGTAGCCAAACAATAGGCTTTTTGTCTTGTGAGTGGCTTTGTATATTTATCTAGACTCAGTGATCCATTCACAACCTTTTTATATGGTTGGAAGAAGCTTTTTGATATAATTCTTACAATTATAAAAGACCTACACTGGAGTATAGGAATGTACTATGGAACTAATCATTATAGCCAACATGGCTGGCTGCTGGACTTGTGATCCTTTTGTTGACAAATAGATTATTTACTATTTGCAATGACATGTACAGTCATCTAGAGGCCATAAACTATACAGAATCCAGTGAATTTTCTAAAAGAAAATAACATAGGGGACTGTTACTAAAAAAGTAGATACATATCTGGAAAGTTATAAAGGTCTTTTTTTTGCTGTAACTGCCCCACATTTCTTTTAGATCCTATGTGAGCAAAAAAATCTTTTGAACTAGACAATTAATTAAATGTCAGATGTCTAATGTTATATGTTGCATTCTAGTCCTTGTCACTTACAATCTATAGGTTGCACTAAAAGATCTTTTTTATATGCCTGCATATTGGATGTTATATATCTAAACCCAAAGACATGTTGCGCAGTAATAATACCTCCATTAGTTAAATATCATTACAACGACCACAGTACTCTTTGTGGGAACAGATATAATACAAAGAGAATTAAAAGGAATTAACAATAAAACAATAAAAAACACTGATATATGAAAATGGATAAGTATTAAGATAACAAATACCTTGCCAAATATGAATTTATTAAAATTTTATACAGGAGTAATATGTTCTCTTTGGCAATGTTTTTTTCTTCCGATTTTAGAACTATTAAAATTTGTGAAAGTTAGTTCAAAATGTATGTACTGGAAAATATTTATTTTGCATTCCACATGCATTTGACTTTTTTGTATAGTCCGTTAAATGTATATGGTGTTTTCACTATTTTTGGCATGTATAAAAAATTAACAACAAAACACTTAAGACTTCTTAAGATTCACTTGTAATCTACTCTATCATATATGGTCATTTAATATAAAATTAAGAGTGGAGGAGTCAATATAAAAAGTTGCCACTAGAAATGAAAGATTGTTCGAATATGGAAGTCTATAAATCATGAAGCAGACTCTGAAGAAAAATAATAACATTTGTTTCTTATTAAAAGCTTCTTACTTTTTCTCTTTCTGACCCCATTCTAAGCAGTTTGAGCTTATTTGCTATTTGTGGTTGTAAAAAGAATTAAGTACAAATGTAGCATCTTCATTTTTTTTTTGTTCTGCAACAATTTCTAAGTATTATTTATTATATAAGTAAAAAATAAAATATTTTCCTTTAACATATTTTGTATATATCAACACTAAAACTGTGTTTAACTCTTCTAAAAAAACAAAATATATCAAAAGGGCACAGGATGAAGTTAGAAAGAGCAAAGTACGAATACTTCTATCCTAAATGCATTCTGATACTGCCAACATGTGATATATTGGAGTATATTATCACTCTCTTTTTTCGAATATGAACATGTCTCCTTTCTCACTCCTTGTCTTGAATTATTATATACTTTTTTATTTATTTTTATTATACATGTTTGAAAATACAAATCATACTCCTACCCATATGCTGATTGTATATGTGTATATATATATATATATATATATAAATATGAGAAGGAAAAAAATGGCACTCAAGGATTTCCATATATTTAAATCTTCATTTATTGCGAAGAATAAATCGACGTTTCAGTTCCTCTAGGGAGCCTTCATCAGGACACAAAAAAAAAATCAAAAAACTGAAAGACACTTATATAGGACATACAATTAATACAAATGGGTACTTACTCTCAGGTGATCTGCATTTTTGTTTGCCGCCGGACCCGCCAAGATCGCCAACTCCAACAACAATACTTCCGGGTTTGTAATCACCTGGCCCTGAAGAACGTCTCCATTGGACCGGCCAAACATGTTACTGGGGCAACCATAGACACCTCCGTCTCATTGGTTACACCCCTATGTACAGATGCCGGTAAGGGACAAAAAATACACTCTAATTTGATTGTATAAGAACTTTGGCATGGCAATCAGAGCGCGTCTCAGCGAATGGAAGAAACACAATAAATTAAGGAGTCTATTTACCACAAAAGAGTCACATCATGGGGAAAGTTTGAAAGTGATTAAAGAAGCTTAATACTGGGAGGTGTAAGAATGAGTGAATGAGAAGAAACTTGTATAGATCAAGCTTAAGTTAATATGCAAATATATGATCCCCTATTTAAACATTCAAAGGGAACAATGTGTTTATGAAAACTCAGAGAAAGTCCTGTACACACAATAAACATGATGGTGTATAGTGACAGGCAAGACATATAGAACTTGACGCATTCACTGCCGGACAGATTTTGTTATCTATAAATTGACGCGTCCATTACAATTACATAGGCAAAACAGAAACGGCTCTTTGCGAGAGAATAAGAAGCCTCAGGTCCAGTATCCGGCTTTCCTACCGTGATGGCAAATCGGACAAACCAGTGGCCAGACATTTCTTAGAATTTCAGCACCAACTTACTTCTCTTCAATGTGTCGCAATTGAGCATATTCCCATTCCGGGCCATGGAGGTAACAGAGCAAGGCTTTTATTACAAAGAGAGACCTACTGGATTTGCCAGTTGGGAACCTTATCACCCAAGGGCTTGAATTAAAAATGCTCATTTTCATCTTTCTTATAATTTTATACGTTGCCATGGTAAATTAAAAATTATGAATAATATTTTCTATCTTGGATTGTGTATCAAAGAGGTATATCGTCAAGCTCCCAGTTTATGACTTGGATATATAGGATCAACTTCTTTTGTAGTCAGTTTTCCTTGTGCTTACGATCAAAAATTATATGGTTTTTTTTTTTTTTCTTTTATTATTTTTTTTTTATTTCTCATTTTCACATTCATTTTTATTTTTTTATCTTTTATTTATTTCTTATTTTTATTTCATTATTTTTTTATTATTCTATTATTTTTTCTTATTTTTTTTTTTTTGGTACCGTTGACTGACTTTTAATCTATTTTAACTTTTTCTTGTAATATTTGTATCTAAGTGGGTTCTGCTTCCTGGTGGAATATATCTTAGGAGTATAATTAAGGGGATCTTATTGATTCACATATAGTTTATTCTTTATACAGAGTATCCCTGATGTTGGGAACTATAACAAATATACACAATTATCTATTATTCTTTTCCACTATTTAGTCATTTTGTTTGCTCACTATAATTCTATAACTCACTGAAATTCTAAGAAATGTCTGGCCACTGGTTTGTCCGATTTGCCATCATGGTAGGAAAGCCGGATACTGGACCTGAGGCTTCTTATTCTCTCGCAAAGAGCCGTTTCTGTTTTGCCTATGTAATTGTAATGGACACGTCAATTTATAGATAACAACATCTGTCCGGCAGTGAATGCGTTGTCGAATTCTATGTCTTGCCTGTCACTATACACCATCATGTTTATTGTGTGTACTGGACTTTTTCTGAGTTTTCATAAACACATTGTTCCCTTTGAATGTTTAAATAGGGGATCATATATTTGCATATTAACTTAAGCTTGATCTATACAAGCTTCTTCTGATTCACTCATTCTTACACCTCCCAGTATTAAGCTGCTTTAATCACTTTCAAACTTTCCCCATGATGTGATTCTATTGTGGTAAATAGACTCCTTAATTTATTGTGTTTCCGTCCATTCGCCGAGACGCGGTCTGATTGCCATGCCAAAGTTCTTATACAATCAAATTAGAGTATTTTTTTTGTCCCTTACCGGCATCTGTACATAGGGGTGTAACCAATGAGATGGAGGCATCTATGGTTGCCCCAGTAACATGTTTGGCCGGTCCAATGGAGACGTTCTTCAGGGTCAGGTGATTACAAACCTGGAAGTATTGTTGTTGGAGTTGGCGATCTTGGCGGGTCCGGCGGCGAACGAAAATGCAGATCACCTGAGAGTAAGTACCCATTTGTATTAATTGTATGTCCTATATAAGTGTGTTTCAGTTTTTTAATTTTTTTTGTGTCCTGATGAAGGCTCCCTAGAGGAGCTGAAATGTCAATTTATTCTTCACAATAAATGAAGATTTAAATATATGGAAATCCTTGAGTGCCGTTTTTTTCCTTCTCTTATGGTTCAGCCACCAGAGCACCAGGTATTTTGTTTTTGTTATAGTTGGAGTGCAGGGGTTTTCTATATTTATATATATATATATATATATATATATATATAATTTTCTTATTTTAGTGGCCAAATATAGATAGATTATTTATTACTCATTCGGTGTCAGTCAATATAATAGTGGAAACAGTTATAAACTATAGCAGGGTTAAATCTAAAGGATTTTATGATACTAACATATGATGAAATCATTTGGGCAATTCTCTTTTTCCAGACTTTGACAGATATACTCCTCCACGTAGCCATCATCCTACTTGCTTTACTGACAGTGTTGGAAATACCATTTCCATGTGAAAATGTAAACCTCTACTTACAAATCCAGTTTTCAAGAGAATGCAGTAACTCTAACTTACCTAATATAAGATAGAAACAGATTAGAATTTCAATGATCAAATGTTTCTTCTCCACCTCTTAATGTGTCAATTCGAATTAAAACCTAAAGTGTGTGTATGCTACAAGTAGTAAAAGGGCTGAACTCCGATTAAATACTACTTTGTTAATCAAAGCCTGGGAAAATGATGCTAAATAATTGTAATACACAATTTCTTTGCTACTACCTGAATAAACTCTTTCTACTTCAATCATATACCATGGGATTGTCTGACAAGTGTACGTGTGTGTCATATGTTATCTACTAATCAAATATATCCAATCTCTCTTTTATTTTGTTCTCTTCTATAACGTGTAGGTAGAACCCAAAGCTCCATTTAAATTTTTGATATTTTAAAATATTAATATCTAATAAATTAAATAAAATTTAACTATGAAGAGGCACATGTTGTGCCTGCCAAGTTGCCTTCATATTTTATTTAATTTTCCAGTATTTTAGGTTTCTGAAGTATCAAGTTTAACTCAGGATAACTTTGAATCCCTAAATTAGGTTTAGCAGGAATGACAATCACACACACTATTACGATGAGTTTAAGGTATTCATTAGTCCATATTATCCATAGTAAATGGTTCCGATATGGGTATATAACATTTTTTTACCATTTTCTTGGATTTTATTTTAAATATGTATATTTTTAAGATATTTGTAATTTAGATTTGTTATTAGTATACTTTAATGACTTAAACAATGAAACCGTACTAACCCTTGAAATACAGCCATTCTGGAGGTTTGAAACCCACAGGCATTAGCTCACAAGACAGCTGAGCAGTTGACAAGTAGCATGAACCTTATGTTAGAAACAGAAGAAATTGTAAGATTTGCATATAATTACCGAGATCATGCAAATGTCAGTTATGAATATAAAAAAACACAGGCATTTCACTGTTAAATCCTGACAGTTGGCATCACTGAAAAGCTCAAATGCATTTGAGTGCTAGTTGGCAGAGGGTCATTAAAATAGAATTTGCAGATACATTAACACTCTCACTTCTCTTTGAGTGATAGTTTTCTATTTATAGTTTGCACAGAGTTTCCAGAAAACATTGTAGCAAGATGACTTGTAGTTGGCTACCACATAAAAATTGCATACAGAAGTATGGGGACACTGAGGCTTTTTTAATTGATTTGAAGGAAGCTATCAATAACTATGCATAAAGTCGAGATAGAAATGATGGTTGTGACATGTGAGGAGCAAGACAGAGACTGTTGTACAATTTTCATAAGAGCGACAGTCAGCATCTTCCATACAGCAAATTAACCGTAACTAAAAAAATATATATATATATATATATTTTTCCCATAATTTGATAAACTTCACAAAACCAACCCAATACAGCTGGAACGGTCTAAAGATACAATTATGAGATTTCTTCCCATTGCATTAGCATAAATATCATCTGTTACGGGTTTCTGCTGTTTTTGCCACAGGATATAGATTGTCATTTTATACAGGCATGGTGCCTCTTCAGAAATGATATAAGACTAATCACAATTTTTTATTTACCCATAAAAGATGTATTGTGTTTTACCTTAGCTTCCTCATATGTATTACTTTTAATTGTGATTATATTAACAACAAAAAAAAAAAAAAATAGGCCATAGACTTTAAAATATTAAATCTTCAGCTGAGTCTTTATATTTAATTTACTAATGTTTATTGATATTTACAACAGTTCTGTTTGAAATTCTACCAGTTATATATTGAGGAAAAGACAAGTAGATACATAACAAACTTTATGTACAAACACGTAAATACATACAAAACTTTGAAAATGTAATAATTTATTTTTATTTTTTTGGTAAATACAATATTCAGTATTTAATCATTTAACAAACATTTTGGGAAATCATTAAACAAAATATAGAATAGGCCTTCAGCTCATAAAATCACTAATCATCACCATATTAATATACTACCCAAGTGAGAGTAATATATTTAAAATGACAAAAGTAAGTAGGAATTTGGAATATTGTATATAAATTGCAAGTAAGTGGATTGTTACATTACAAAAGTATTGGAAATCTATGTATTGTTAGATAAAAGTAAAATTTTGAAATGTAGTAATAGAAACTAATTATTGAACACTCTTTTCAACTATTTGTTCTAATTTGTTGTGATCCGCACACATTCACAAAAATATAGGAATTGTTTTGCTCTCATGTCAACAATTGTGACATGTCATTTTAGTAATGCTAAAAGATAGAGTATAATGTAATATACTCAATTGTTTATTGCATACAAATTGTTTTGTTGAAGTGATAGTATCCTTGGAGATAACATGTGATAATAAGTGATATTAATGTCTTTTTTACTCTTGAAATCATACATTGATGGGAGAAATGGCAATGGTATACCGTGTGGAACAGTGTGATTTGATGGATATTATTGTAGTAATGGACTAGGTGTAAGAGGATCGTGAAAAAAGCATCTTCTTACGTTTTCTGGCTTTATTAATGTTCTATATTCAGGACTAGTACAGCTAAAACACATTTAGCACCACATGTATTTAACCTACTTTACTAATCTGGAATTAGAAATCATGTTGTCTCAGTTTCATAACAACTTAGGTCTATCTGAAGAAATTATCACATGCTGATATTTCATGATTACATTGTTAAGTTAAATGTGCCAATGTATAATTTTAAAACCATAAAATAATCATTTTATATTTACTGTTGATCACCAACTTTTTCTTGACCTTCTCTATTCCATACGAATTTGCGCTAAAGCCCTTGTTTGGTTCACTTGGTAACTATCCAATCAAGAAATTTCTGTTTCCTTTTCTGACAATTTATTATCCTCACTTTTACTCTTAACCATGACCTTCTACCCTCTTCAGTCTACAACCCATAACTTGATTATAACATGTTTCATAATTTTCACATTCAATCACATATTCTTGCTGCCTCCATCTAATAACATTGCCCAGAGATGTTCATTTCATAACCAGCATTAAAAAAGGATGTGTAATTAACTCGCCAATCTTCTGCATTCTTTCTCTTTATCAACCTCCCGATAACCACTTGACTAATGTCCAGTCTTTACTAGTCACCGCAGAGAAATTTCTTCTCCAACTTGACTTCTTTTACATCCCTGTTTTTGTAACAAACTAGATTTACTCATCCTACCCACTCTTCTTGTGGCCTAAGACTCTTTACTTCTCTTATGAAATCCTCCTCTCTAGCCTGAACAACATTGAGACATTAAGTCCATGTGTCCATGAGATGATCCAACAAGATCCTCAAGAAACACATCAATCTTACAAAGAATGTCAGCACAGTGAGCCAGGCAAAGGAACACTAAATGACAGATAATAAAGAACAATATTTGGTGATGAATTCAGTTTAGCGTGACTATCCAGACACAAACACAGTAACCACTAAGATAAATAACACCTGTCAGCAGACCACAAAAGGGCACGAGGTCTGCATACACCAGATATTTTTAAGTAGTGAGGATAGGGTGTTCTACACAGAATTATATGCTCTATGGGTTGGGAGGTTTTATTTTTTTTTTTATTCTCAGCCTTACTTTAATAATACTTAATTTGTAATGTTAAACCAAAACTAATACTATGCCAAGAAATCCCAGAAGGACATAACTGCACATAACTGATCAGGTCATTGCAAAACGAGCACACTGAAATAGGTTGGGTATCTGAAAAAGTAAATATTGTCTGAGCTTGTTGGCACATATTAGGAGAGTTGTTAAAACACTTTTACTGATCAGATGTGTCTCGGGCAGGGTGGCATTTGTCTAAAATTAATCTTAGTATAAACAGTTAATGTATTACAGTATGTCTTAAACTTTCCATAGCCATGGTCACTGTTGGAACTCAATATGGAAACCCATGGTTTCCTTACCAGGATTGAATATATCTAGTCTACAAGTATGGGCTCAAAATTTCCACTAGCCCACTCACCAATGTTGAATGGCCTGAATATATATATATTCCAGTCTAGTGAGTATACCATGGGTTCCTAACTATTTATAAGGATGATCAGTGCTGTTTAAAACCAGCTGATTATTAAGAGCGGCTGTATCAAAAATGGAATATAATAATAGAGTGTAGATATTGTAGAAATGTGGCTGTTGGCTACCAATGAGAACTTCATATGATACAATACCCCTAATAGAATAAAGAAATTGCAAGTAAGTTTCTTTCTGTTTCTAATCTATGTAGAGATGCACACAGAGACACTTAAAAATGATAAGCTAAGTTAATAAGAAAAAAGTTATAGCATATTAACCCTCTAACTTCACTGAGAATAACGTTTGAATTCAAAATTACAAGAGGGCCGCTCCTCGGGCTGCTACTCTTTCCGTGACCTATTGATATATAGTAGGAGTGATTTTGTGAGACTAATATCTTAGGACTTGATAGTCAGGGCCCTGTATATACAATTTCTTTATACTGACTTGATGTTCTGTGGTCTAGATAGAGGATTTTTTTCAGATAGAGGAAATTATTTTCAGTGGATTTTTGTGGATAGTTACAATGTGTGCTTATTAATAGTGATTAATATTGCCATAATTCATTCAAAAATAAGTAAACACACCATAAAAATATATTGATTTTTAATCAATCTGTTATGTTGCTGCTGTTTTCTCCTTGACTGAACATTCCAATATATGAAGACAGAGACTTGTGATAGGTTGTTGCGTTTTATATTATTAATGCATTATAAAGCAGTAATAATAAGTATATATATATATATATATATATATATATATATATATATATATATATGGAATAAAGAGATGCACTCTTAGGGCTTAAGCAATGAAAAATGATAATTTATTCCAGCAGGTATAACATCAAAGTTTGCCGACATTTCGACCCATTCGGGTCTTTCTCTTTATTCCTCATATATATTTTTTCAACATGGGATTGCACCTAGGCAATATTGTACTATATACATGAAAGGGTGAGTGCCAAGAAAGACATTTTTTGTATATATATATATATATATATATATGTGTGATATAGGGCGTAGACGTGGTTCCACCCTTTTGTTTATGCTTCATCAATGCAATAATTATTCTTCAGATATTGGATATATTTTTACTACATTCAACAACTGTAGCACATACAAGGCTGGCAGTATCAATACATCAAGGAACGGTCTTGATGGGATTTTCTGTTGAGATGTTGGAGAAAATATGCCTTATATGGGTTAAGGAAAGAATAAAGCACAGGGCATTCTATACATGAATGACAGGTTTATTCTCGAGAGTCTACTTGGCATAATGTTGCTGCTAAGAGTTGTTAAAAAAAAGTTGGTTGTATAATAGACTTGGTATGGTATGCCCCATGGACTGAAAGGAGGGGGCAAACAATGCATACAAAAAGTGAAAAAAGTTTAGAGCTATCGCAGGTATTATACTTAACAATAATTTCACAATCGCTCTTAATCCCTTCAATAACAGGGTTAGGCAAATCCATTGCTATTGTGACAGTCCTGGCATGATGTTGATTCTGAAGGGGTTAATGATTGTGGAAATGTCACAGGAAAACAAGTAGACATGTAGGAAAGTTGTCAAGAACATAGTAGATCGCTAAACCAATTCGATGCGCAGAAATGGAGGTGATTTAAAGGACAGAATAAATAGTAAATTGTCCATTCCTCTGTTTCAGCAGGAAATATCAGAGGAAGTGCAGTTAAAAAAAAAAGAAATAGTGATCATCGGCATCAGGCAGACAGAGCATTATAAGAGTTGTATTTCAGTAAAAGATGAAAATAATTTTTTGTCCACTCTTGGTTTAGAAGAAAACAGCTGGAAAGGCAGTAGTTAAAATGTTAATTATTTCCATAATTTCTTAGAAGAAAATTGAAATACGTTTCCGCAATATTTTCGAAGCACGTTATTAGATTTTAGAATGTAAGTTTTTAAATTCCACAGTCTGATTAAATGTAATAATTTTTTACACCAAAATCCTATTACAGAAAAATGTAAAAGTATATATTTAACTACTGTAAGATTTTATATAACTTTAATGAATTAAGTGACGTTCGACTTTCTCCAGCTATCGTATTCAGGTACATGCAGCTTTAACCCTCATGGGCTGCAGCCCCTCACCTATCCTGGAAATGTTCAGGGTACCCCATCCTTAATGACAGGTATGTTTGCTAGGTTGTTACCTAGATTGTAGGTTGACAGAAAATCTATTAACTTGCTTGTTATCTATATGAGGAATGGAAATGAAGATTCGTGGATGCAATTTATTTATGTAACAATTGCACTGTAGTGAAATGGGAGATTGCATCGTATTGCACAGAAAAAAAAATCTAAACAACTTTCCATCTAACCGCTTGATTTCCCTCCTATTCTGATAGCACAGGAGCATCACTGCACTTGTTTTGAAATGCATTCTGTTACCGTGGACACTGTTTTCTTGTTTTCTTCACACAAAAAAATAACAATTAACAGTATTTAAGCATCATAGTTTTCATTTTAAAATATCTTTATTTATTTTCTCATTTCAGCTAAGTCAACATTACACGGAAACAAGGATCACTTCATCTGAAGATGAAAATGATAGTGAGGTGCCAGAACAAGCTAGTTTTTCAAATGGAGGAGAGATAACTGAGCCAGTTGAATTTTTTGAAGACAATAGTTCCAGAACTCTTGCACAAAGTGAACAAACAGCATCAGACCAGCTTACACAGGAATCGGAACATTTAGATAAAACTGAAATAAGACCTACAGTGAAAGATGCATTCCACTTGAAGGAAATTAAGGAATTTGGGGGTACTTTGACGGCTGATGACCATAATTTAGGAGATTCTAAGGATTTACCTCAAGACTACATGCACAAAACTGAAGACAATGAAGAGATTCAGTCTCATGACTTACATGAACAAAGCTTTGAATTGATAAAACCGTACCTGGAAGATACAGGCCCACCACCAGAAAATGAAGAAACAGAGACCCTAAGTATTAGCAAAATAGGTGTATGTGACAAGAAAACAGAAACATCCACTGTTGCACAAATGGACTGCTTACAATCACAAGGATTACTGGATGACAATGCTAACCCAAGTTATAGTCACAAAGCTGTACATGTTTCATATTTTTCAGAAAATGGTACTGATAAAACAGTTTTGGGGCAAACAGAAATTTCTGATAAAATGAGCAAGGAATATAAGGATAGTACTTCTAATATTCTACAAGAGGCTACTGGTTTCCAACTGCTAATTAAAGACAATGAGCATTCACATAAAGATGAAGAGCACAGAATACTTTCCCAAGATCTAGAATGTGAACAAGAGTTTGACAACAATGATGGTGGTGTCAAAAGTACTACAGGTTGGCCTGGAAATATGTCACTTTTAGGTGAAAACACAAACATATGGGATGAAAAGCCTGATGAATATATAAAAATGACAAGTGCAACTAACATTTGTATGGAAGAATTAGAAATAATGCATGAAATAAAGCCCTTCGAATCAGTATTGGATAAAAACCACAAAAAAGACAACAGAGAGGAAGAGGACTTCTCCAATTTCCAAACTGAAAAGGTGCCAATATCCAAATTATGTTATGGTTCACTAAGTGATAGTACTTCTGAATCCACACACTATAATTCTCAAAATGTCAAAGCTTATTCAAGCTATTCTGATGAGAACTACAGAAGAGCAGAACACAATTTCAAAAATCCATTATTAGAGGAACATGTAAAAGGTCTTACAAGCCATGAAGAAGATGAGACATGTATGTATAGCAAAGAGGAATTCACAGAACAAGAGGGTATTCAGGGTACTCACCATGAACTATCTCAGACCAATGTTCCACCAGTCGAGTTGCATCCAGCTATTAATACAGATGAATATATGTCATGTGCAAGTAATATAACATCAGAGAGTCCTGTAAGTCAAAAGAATCCAAGAGAGAAAGTCATCATTGCTGTGCTAACAGAAGAACAAAGCCTTTGTAAAGTGCAAACTCTAAGAGAAGATTTCAGTAAAGAATGTGATACAAATGTCTATCAACAACAGGATGTATGGGCAACAAAACAACTGGATGGAAGCACGGGTACTGCTTTGCACAGGAAAGATAAAGATTTAGAAGTAAATATTTGTTTCAATTCAGGACTTACCAAAGAACCAAAAAAAGAAGGAACAGAGGACATTGAGTTGCGTATTGATGAAAATCCAAAAGGTGTTATTGAAGAAATGTATAAAGGGACAAGTTTGTGTAAAGAAAATGTAATTCATGAAGGTGCTAACGTTGACCAGTGTATATTTTATGCTGATAATGTGCCAGATAGGTTAAAGAAACATGGTGAACTTGATGTACGGTATACAGGTCTAGATAACCCTAGTGATCAATCAAGAAGCAGTTTTTCAGATACTAGTGTAGTAACTGAACAACTGTCTAAAAATTTAAATGAGGATCCAGTTCATGAGAAGGAAGTAGAATACATGTTTACAGAAATGATTTCTGTAGATAACCCCTCATTCACTGAAGATGGAACAGTCAGCTTAGACTCGAAAAGGGAAGATGTATTTATTGGGCCATCTATTTTTATAAGTGAGCCTGATGATGAATTGGAATCTCAAGGCTTAGAGTCTGAAGAACAGAACGATTTAGGTGAAACCACAAAATGTGAATCTGATGATAAACCCCTTCCTGTACAGGCAAATGCTTCTGATAATGTATCCACCGATCTGTTGTCTATCAGTCATGTAAGCTCCAAAGTGCTTTGTTTTTTAATGTTTGTTGTATTTTCTGGTCTGATGTACCATTATGATTTCCTGGTTTGCTTTGCTCTTTATCTTTTCTCATTATACTGGTTATACTGGGAAGGAGACAGGAGTCCAAAGCCAGTCAGAAAAGAGTAGGCGGACATCAGTAGTGGATTAACTATAATATTTTACTACAAGAAAGCAGACAGTCTTGTTGACAGTGTTCCTCTTACAAAAACAAGATGCTAAGTTTGGCTCTTCGTGAAATCATTCTATGACAAAGGACCATAGATAAAAGATCATGGCAAGTTATTTAGACTTTAATTCGTAAGCAAAGGCTTCCATATTTTTGAAGTCATTTCCTTGCTTCTCTCTGTTTAGTAAATATTTCATTGTTTTTGTTATAATGAGTGTTTTGTAAAGGGATCGGCATTACTTAATGTTTTCTTTTTCTTTTTTTTTTCCTTTGGGACAGCATGTTTGATCTATGTTCTCAGTTCCTTCCATTTTATTTCGATTGTGTGGTATCAAGTTTTCTTTCCTCTTTTTGCATTGTCACTTAGGTAACACAGCTTTATAAAAACAATGTCATGTTCTTTGTGTAAGTGCTGTCAAAATAGCATAGCTACTTCAATGAACAATTGACAGACTGATGGATTGAGCATGGGAAATATTGTTGCAAAGACTCACAATGATTTATAAGAGGAATTGCACTAAAAATGGCTGATTGTCCAATTTACATGTATCTGCATGACAAGATATAGAAGTGCAACTATAGGTACAACGTTGAGAGGATTACGGATTTATCTAGCGGGTCTTAACCAATTCAGTGCTATGTTTGTGAGCTATGCATGGTTCATTCCACTGACATTGAAGTGGTTAAGTGGTTTTGTAGTTAATGCAATTAGAGCTGGTAATTTATTACAGTTTTAACAGCAATAAAATTGTTACTGTGTTTTTCCAAAGTGTTGTTGAAAAGTCATCTATATTACATTTGAATAAAAACAACAAAATAAACATAGCTCAGATGCATTCAACAGCTTTTATTTCGATATGATATTTTATGTATTACTTTGTTCATAATTTATAATGGCATTTCATAGAAACATGGTTGTATGTGATTTTATATTAAGCATAGTAACATGCAGTAAAAGTTGAGTTGTGGAGAACTGGAATCCAAATTTGGAACGTTTAGGCCAAAATAGCTTAGAAATAGTTGAAAAATTCTACAATTCACTTTTAAACATCCAATTGTATATATTGCATCATAATTTACTCTTTCACAATTCAGCCATTTAGTTTAAACAATACTTATTTTTTTTTTTTGTGTGTTTGGGACAGGTGATATGTTAACTGTTCTCCATTCAGTGTGAGCTGCTTTGTTTTTTTTTTGAGTATTCTACATATACATATATATATATATATATATAGATATATATATATATATATCTATATATATATATATATATATATATATATATATATATATATATATATGTATTAAGGCAATTTGCCTGCATTTGTGGGAGGTGCTGGTTTTCTACCCCTAGCCTACTTAAGGCACTCCCCTTGCCTGGCTCCTTACCGTTCGAGGTCAGCGTTGAATGAGGATCCACTTCCGGGTTCTCTCAGACGCCATCTTGGTTTCAGTATCCAGGAGGTTTCACCACGTTAAGCTGTGTCCAGGAATCCTGTTCAGGCCTTTCCGCCCGTCCAGCTTCTTCTGACTCCGTTCTCCGTCGTAGATCGCGTCCCAGGGACTCCTAAACCGTAAGTCACGCCAGGACTGGTTCCCACGGCGTACGGTACAGCACGGGTCCTCGCTTTACGGCTTTTCCCTGGTTATGACACGAATGTTTCAAGCCATTCGCGGGCTTTTCATTCGTACGGTCATTCGGCTGAACATGTTTTAAATTGTTCAATAGTCATTTCGCATATCCTATTCATGTTATTTAAACGAATGTTCATTCGGTTGTTTTGCCGTTCGGCAAATTTTACATACGCTCATACACGCTTTGGTTCGCATAAATCATATGGTTAAACTATTCTAACTTCTGTGTTCCCCTCACATTTGCTTTCGGCTGTTCTGTGTGTTCACGTATAATCCTTTCATGAATTATATTAACCATTTCATGTGTATATAACATTCGGTTAAAGTATTGCTTGCTTAAATAGATTATTGTTGATTACTTTTAACAAATTGTCAGTATTGTATTACGTCCACAAATCAAGTCCACTTCTCTGTGTATACCATTTGACTCCCACGCTTTCAGGGGTCTGCATTACTTATCCATTTATACGAATGGACTCAGCCTATGTTACAAGCCTCATTTCTGGGTTATTAATACAACATATACAAGGATAGGTTCATTTAAGCAATAATTCTCGGGTTGATACGTCTTTGCTATACATACATATCATATAGATATACATCACTTTACATCATGTTAAATCATTTTGGGGTATCCCTGCCTTTGGTCTTTCTGCTACATATCATACATAACGCTGTGTTAATTAGGCCATGACCTCATCCATGTCCCTTTCTATAAAACCAGTTACATTTCGGTACAGATCATTGAACTCCCACGCCAGGAGTTTTATAACTATCCATTTCATTTCAATTTACTCAGCCTACATTACAGGCCTCATTTCTCTGTCATGACGATGACACATAAGGCTTAAATCCTTTTGCATGCATACTCGGGTTGAATCACACGTACTGATCCAACCAATCATACGTCCCCTACACAGTCATATACATATGTATATAACCTACGTTTCATGTTTTCCTTTACACACCATTATCACGTAACACATAGATTGTTTGTACATAGGCCACGGCCTCCCTCAGATGTCTTATTTCAAGCATGCAAACATTTCTGAGCCACTCATAGCTATTCCCATGGTATCAACATAATTTTATACATTGCTGCTACAGACTATAAGTCTGGTTCTTTTTACACCCCACACTCATCGTACTACTCTCTTTTACCCATTTTTAGGCTGTCGAGCTTATATAATTGCTCCACACGGTTTATTCCTGTGATTTATCATACTACCAGGTACGTACACCTGCTCATATGGTATTCTACCATACATTTCATTTCATCCCCCTAGTTTAGAGTACTGGCAATAGGGTCACAGGATTCCCAATAGGTATTTACCCCATCTTGGCTGTCGCCATTAGTTAGTGGTCCCGCGAGGCCAACACCCCGCCTCAAACGTTTCGGAGGCAAACACCCATCGGGCCACACGCTAGCTAGCCGCCTCGCATGTTGCAAAGAGAGGGCCTCACCTGTCACTCCCTTCCCCTGTTTTCTGTCGTACAGTCACCGAGAGGCCTAAAACTCCTGCCACTACGTCAAGTGGCCTCAATAACCCCTCGCGCCAACGCATAGATAGAGCCTCTCAAGCCGCTTGGCAATTAGTAGGGCCTCACCTGTCACCAAACAAGCATAATACTTTCGCCATCCGGCCTAGCTAGCCTGCCAGTACAATTTGGTGGTTCTATATACTAATTATTGTTTTATTTATAGTATGTCTCAGGAAGGGGTAGAGGATTTCTCCCTGCCTAGCACCCCGGCTAGAGCTGTCACTCCCACACAAGGAGGAGAGCTAGCTAGTCCAGCATCAATTAGATCCTGGACAATCCCGCGCATAACCACGGAATTAAGGAGACGACAAATCCCCTACCCCGCTACAGCAAGGAAGGCAGAACTTTTCAAACTGCTACGCACATCAACCAATAACATGGAAGCCGGGGAAGGATCTAGCCAGTCCAACCTAGGGGACATACATGCCATGTTATCCTCACTCATGGCATCCATGGGCAAGGTCAACTCCAGGCTGGAGAAACTTGAGTCGGTCACCACGGCCCTCACTCTAGCAGGGCCACCCGCGGCTGCGGTACAAACACCAGCCTTGCCATTAGTCGCTCCAGCCAGCCCCCTGGATGACCAGGAAGTTAGCCCGGCCCACATGATACCTGAGCATATCAAAAGGGATATCCTGGAAGGTAAAGACGTCAACCTGGCTTCCCTGTTGATTGCCTCCCAGGACATTGTGGAACATAAGACGTATGCTTATGATGATGTTTCTGTTATTGTCAGATCTAGGGATGCCCGCCTGAACAGAAAACTGACTATCCCTGAATTTGTACTAGCGTTTGGTATTTACAGGGATGTCGTCTGTGCGGTTTATCCCAACAGAAGAGAGGAGTTTGATCTCTATATGCACAAGCTGGTAGACCTGGGCAACAAATATGGTGGTTCAGCATTCTATGACTACCATAGGTCTTTTTCTGCAAAAGTGGCTGGAGCCTTCTCCCAGTACGGTACACGATCCAACTGGGGAAGGATTGATACCGTCTTATTCTGCAGACACTTTGCAGGTCTAAGAACACCAGCTTGTGCATACTGCTCCTCCACAGCCCATACTACTAATTTTTGTCCCAACACGGCAGACGGACATGCCTCCACACAAGGAACTAGTTCCTCTGGGGATCCAGGGAAACTATCCAAAGACAAATTGGGACGCCCAATCAAGTTTCTGGGCAAGTCCCAGATATGTAATAATTTCAATGTTGGGTCTTGTAATTACAGTGGATGTAGACTATTGCATGTCTGTTCAAAATGTTTTAGGGCACATGCTAAGACCATGTGTCCAAATAAAATGTATTCTAAGCCTTACCTTACGTCCATTAATATGCCAGTATTCACAGCATTGATGTCTCAGCACCCATCTAGACACCTGGTAGATTTTCTTATTTCTGGTTTAACAGAAGGCTTCCACACAGGTATCCTACACATACCAGCTGGCACTCTGGAATGCCCAAACCTACAATCCGCCCAACACAACCCCACAGTGGTTGACACCCTCATAAACCAAGAAGTGGAGGAGGGCTTTGTATTGGGGCCTTTTAGAACTCCCCCATTCACAGAATGGCACACCAACCCTATTGGTATTGTCACAGGGAAATCTTCCCAAAAACAGAGACTCATCATTGACTTATCGGCTCCCCACTCATCGGCCAACCCCAGTCTTAATTCCCTCATACCCTCTGAGGAATTCTCTCTGCAATACACCACCATAGATCACGCCATTACAGCCATCATACAAGCAGGGGTGGGAGCCTGGCTCAGTAAGACCGACATTACTATCGCCTTCAAATTACTCCCTATCCACCCCACACTGTAGCACCTGCATGGCATCAAGTGGTCCGAGAACTACTATTTTTTCTCCCGGTTAACTTTTGGGTCCAAAAGTAGCCCAGCTATTTTCGACACATTTGCCGAAGCACTATGCTGGTTACTATTGAACATAGCCGGATGCCCTACAGTATTACATTACTTGGACGATTTCCTACTGGTCGAGGAGAATACTGCACCTCCCACTAGCCTCAAAGCTACCACTAAGCTGTTTGAGCAACTAGGTGTACCCATCTCCCCAAAGAAAACAGAAGGGCCAGACACGGTTATCACTTTTCTGGGTATCCAGTTAGACTCTGCCACAATGCAAGCAAGCCTACCTTACGAAAAGATAGACAATATTCTCACTTACATAAACAACTACCTACAGCTCGGCACTTGCAACCGCAAAGAACTACAGTCCCTGCTGGGGTCACTAAATTTTGCAATGCGCATCATACCTCAAGGCCGCTCCTTTATTTCACGACTATTGCATCTTTTCCCACTTTTTCTACATGACACGCACAGGTTGTCCTTAGATGCCCAAGCTACGGCAGATCTAAACATGTGGAAGAGGTTTTTAACCACTTGGAATGGTAAAAGTATGTTCCTCCCTCAATTGACTGAATCATCTCCTACCATTTGGTCAGATGCGGCATCTACCACTGGTTTTGCAGCAATTTTTGGGAACGAATGGCTTTGGGGCAGCTGGCCTTCAGCACTTCTGGATTTGGAAGGTTTTTCCACTACCTCAGCTCTTTTTGAGATCTACCCTATAGTGGCGGCTGCCGTAGCGTGGGGTCATTTATGGGCTAATACGCCAGTGCGTTGTTACTCAGACAACCAGGCGACCTGTCACATCATCAACAAAGGTCGTTCCAAATCTCTTACGATTATGAGATTATGAGATTTTCTGATGAAGCTCACTTGGTTGGCAGCTTGTCATAATTTCTTCCTATGTTGTTTCCATGTGCCAGGTGTATACAACACAGCTGCTGACAGTTTGTCTCGCTTTAAATTTCAGGAGTTTCATCAAGCACTCCCGTCAGCAGCACCCACAGCCACCATCACTCCAACATTTCAACAACTCATACTGGACTAGACGTCATCATGCAGCATAGCAGGACATTGTCTCAGTTGGCACTTTCACACAATACAAACAAAACATACAACAGGGCTTTCACACTATTCAAACGATTCCTTCTGGAACATAACATCATACAACCGTTTGTTATGACATCTTTTTTGGGGTTTGCTTCCTTTTGCCACCTTAAACTCAAATTGTCATATAACACCATCAAACTCTATCTCACTGGCATTCAACACCACATGCTCATCTTACACCCAAATAACAACAGTTTCATGGCCTCTCACCAAATTAAGACCATACTCAGAGGTATTCAAAAATCAGAACCCACACATTTGGCCCAGAGGCTACCCATAGATAACCATATCTTCAAAGCTTATCTAACCTACTCGACCTGAAACCGTTTGACACTAATACGAATTCTATCATCAAAACAGCAATATACATCGCTTTCTATGGATTTCTACGACCCAGAGAATTCACTACGACCTCCACGACCCAAACCACTCCATTCCTCCTCTATTCCCACTTGACAAAACATATGGATCATTACATCCTGTCTTTACCTCACTCCAAAACCAGCCAGCACATACCTGTAAACATTCCATACTACCCCACGCACAACAGATGGTGTCCCGTAAAAGTTCTTAATGCCTACATACAGCACCATCACTTACTGCCCTCGCAACCGTTATTACAACTACAAGGTGCAGTACTCACCACTACAACCTTCATGACCTACGTCAGGTCCTTGCTCACACAACTGGGCCTCAACGCAAACAATTACTCAGGACACTCCTTTCGTATAGGAGCCGCGTCCACAGCCTCCAGTTTCAACGTCCCAACTCATGTTATCAAAACACTGGGGCGCTGGAAGTCATCCGCTTACTCACGGTACATACCGAACCCAGTACAAGAGTTAAGAGATGCTTTCATAAACATGTCTGGTTGATAAATGTATATGTATTGGTTGTCTGTTAATAAATTGGATTACTTAATTTTTGCCCTCTTCTTTCTCAGGCCTACCTCATCGTCGGTTTCGGCACACCACAACCGACTTGCTCCTTTTATCATCCTACGCTTATTCATGGTATTTCACACTGTACTATCTTAAGCACCTAACACAAGTATTAAGGCAATTTGCCTGCATTTGTGGGAGGTGCTGGTTTTCTACCCCTAGCCTACTTAAGGCACTCCCCTTGCCTGGCTCCTTACCGTTCGAGGTCAGCGTTGAATGACCCTCCCACCACACCACTTTTAACATTTATTTTCCTTTCTATTTCTTTTCCTGGGTGGGCCCTCTTCTTTCTCAGGCCTACCTCATCGTCGGTTTCGGCACACCACAACCGACTTGCTCCTTTTATCATCCTACGCTTATTCATGGTATTTCACACTGTACTATCTTAAGCACCTAACACAAATATATATATATGATTTTAACATATGAAAAGTTAATTTTATATTATAGTTGCCCTTTAATATCTGCTTGGCTATTTTGTTCTAATTTGTGCGCCTTTCAATGCATCCCAAATGTCCAGCTGAGTATAATCTTACCTTCTTACCTTCTTCACTACAGTTGATCATAGCAGCATTTATTTAGTACAGGGGTTGGCACCCTTTTAACAGTTCCTTAAATTAATGTGTGTGTGTGTGTGTGTTTTCATATGTTTATTGTGTATGTGCATGATAGTTTGTGGTACATGTATGTATGTGTGTATCATGTTGTGTGTGTGAATGTGGGTTGTGAATGGGGGGGCTGCTTGTGGGATTGTGTGCGGGTGACATGTAGTATGGTGTGTGTGTGTGTGTGTGTGTGTGCATAGCGTAAAGTGTAGGAAAATGGTTGTGGGTTTGTGTATGTGTATGTGGGATTTTAGTGGTGTTGTGTTTGTGGGGGCTGTGTGTGTGATTGCAAGTGAGCTGTGTGTGTTATTTGTGTGTGTGGAGGCTTCTTCTTCAGATGTTTGAGCATGTCTGGCTGTGGGGGTGGCTTCTCTGGGGTCCAATGGGGACTGGGCTGGCCAGGTGAAGGGTCAGGAACAAGTTGTGCGGTGGCTCCTGTGGATTGCTCTCCTCCAGTGCAAGTTCCTTTCACAAGCACTGGTAGGAAGTGATCTGAGATCACATCCCCAAGAGCTAAATGAGTAAATTGAGGACTGCTAGTGTTTCAGTTGGCACTAGTAAATATCTGATGAAGTCCTGAGGTCAGCTCCTGTTAGGTCAGCTCCTGAGGAATTCCTCAAGTTTCCCAGCCTATTTGGGTCTTGCATGCCGTTCAAAGGCACCTAAAGTTTTTGTACATCTAACTTGTATGAGTGCTCCAGTGTAAAAGTGATCTTCTGACTAACACTAAATCCATTAAAATATTTTTATTAGTTTTAAAAGAGTGATGGATATAGCACCTTATTCCCTCATTATACAAGTTTTTTTTTGGTGAGTACTTCTGTATAGGTAAGTAAAAACATCCATACTTCTGTGCAATTTCTGTGTTCAACGTGACCTTTAGCATCTGCAGAGAAATTCAAAATGAGCACATGTATGCATTAGCATACCCACATGTGTAACCATATCTGTAGCCCTGTGGGGGGCATTTTAATTTATATGGCATGTCCAGAAAACTGCCAAAAAGTTTGAGGGAAAAAAAAGCACAACTCATAGTTAACTTATAGTTAGCTTCCGATTTGTGCAAAAATCTCAGCAGTGACAGTTCCAAGTTAATGGCTAATAAATTAACATCACAAAGTTTTCCTATATATAACAGAAATTATCTGAATGGTAATTAATTCATGTTGCAGGCTGTAGTTGTTATTATGCAAGCCTTTAATTAACAGATTTCCTAGATCTGTATCTGTAAGACAGGTCACAGCTGATTTGTAACTTGTGTTACCTTCTGCCTTTTATCTGTGCATAAGTCCTAGTGCCACGCAGTTGTTAAATTTCAGCTGTTTCAGCCAAGGCAGATTTGGTATAACTGAAACTGCATGACTTTCAGCTGCCATTCAGTAACCTGCTAAAATTAGCCAAACCGCTAAATAATGTTGCTAATTCAGCTGTTCACCAATAGCTGGATAGGAACTGAATTCCATTCATTTTAATAACTCTACACCACCGACTCACATACCTACCTATCTTGCCTGCCCAATGTCCGAAATAGAAGTGGGCAGGCAAGAGAGTAGATTGCCTAGGGCACAGGTGAATGAGTTAGGCCAAGCAGGATTCTTCTAGACTATTTAAGTTTAGCTACTGATTGGGACAGTCCACCAGCGATCCTGTGTCTTTATACTTGTTGTGCCTGTGTTGGAGTGGAAGAGTCATTGCACCTGCGCCATTGATTCAAGTGTTAGACTAGGTGTAGCCATCTGCTAATGAGTAGATACTGCGAGAAAAACTTAAATAATTTTGAGCGGAAGATATACGAGATTTGCAGGAATTTTGCCATTGCTCCTAGTTTGAAACTAGGTTACCAAAATACAGTTGTGAAAAGTTGATCTTTTTTTGTTGTTTGAAGGAAGGAAAAAAACTTTTTGGGGGGCGTGTGTAGTCTCACTGCTCTATCCACTGCCATGTAGGAGTTAACTCACTTTGTTTATACAACCATAACCACACCTCCTTGCTCATGACTTGCACAGCCTTTCTAAACATTTCCTGTAAATGTACTAATCTAATGTTTATACTTCCTTCATTACAAATTCTGTTCAATGTAGAATTTCTTATCTCCTGTACTGTTTATAGCTCACTAGACAGTGCGGGTGCCTCCTGAATGAGATTAAAGTTAAATTTACAGAGCAGGTGATAATAACTTTTAAAGTAAGTTAACAAGTGATTGAAAATTAAACCATGCAGTCTGTGTTAGTCACAGCCAGGGGAGGTGTGGCTAGAGCTGTATAGACATAAACAAAAGTGATTTAACACCTAAATGGCAGAATATTGAGCAGTGAGACTTCAGAGAAATGATCTATGCACAAAAAATGGCTTCATTTAGCCAAAGTTGTTTTGATGACAGTGTGTGCAAGCACACTGCAGTGTATTTTAACAACAAACACAACGTTGCAGCAGTAAATCCATTTTGCCACACAAACACATATTTTGCTATAGTTATACTTTACACAATACACAATCATTCATATTCCTTACCTAATTCATTGTAAAAAGAAGAAAAAAACATACCATTAATAATGTCCGTAATAACCCCAAGACTAAAATAAGGGAGGGTTAAGGATCCCCAATCCACTGCACCTGAATCTTTAGCAGATGCAATGCAAAGGGTGGGGGATAATGCATCATGATGGAGTAAAGTATGGGATTACTTTGAATGCCTCCCAGAAGGCCGACTTGCAAAGCGCAGGTCATCTCACTAGTGCTGGTATGAAGCAACATCTACAAAGATACCACAAGTCTGTATTAAGGAGAGAAGAAGCAGCAAATTTTGGCAACTCAAAATTGGCATTGCAGAAATGACTGATATTTTTTAGCCATGAGTCAATATTGAAGCCGATATTGCATGTCACCACTGACATGGTCCACATTTTTCAGGTGTTCTGGCTGTCCGAATGGTCTTCCCAAATGTTTCCAGTACCATAATTCAACCAAAGCCAACCAGCAACATGAACGAAATTCTGCCAACTCCAAAATATATTTCTGCCAAAGTGGTTCAGAAGAATCTAAATTTTCAAGTGTCTAATGACCACCACTACCCACAGCATAAATATTTGAATGGAGGAGGAGGAAGGTAAGGAAGTAGAATTACTGCACACTACCCCTGTCGAAGGACATTATATTATTATTATTATTATTATTATTATCACCATTTATATAGCGCCAACAGATTCCGTAGCGCTTTACAATATTATGAGAGGGGGGATGTAACTATAAATAGGACAATTACAAGAAAACTTCCAGGAACAATAGGTTAAAGAGGACCCTGCTCAAACAAGCTTACAGTCTATAGGAGGTGGGGTATAAGACACGTTGGGACAGGAAATATAAATCAAAAAGGTTGGGAGTGAAGCAGAGCTGGAGGAGAGAGTAAAGCACTGCCCTACAGGAGAGAGCAAGAGACAGGTATGTAAGGTAGCGGTTACTCTGGGAGGCCATAAGTTTCCTAAAGAGATGGGTTTTAAGGCACTTCTTAAAGGATTGAAGGAGTCTCTCACGAGAAGTTCTGCAAGCGTGAGTTGGCCGTAAGGGTGCGAGCAGCGGTCAGGAGGTGGTTACAGGGAGAGCGGAGGGAACGAGGAGGGGCATACCTTTGGATCTGTGAAGAGATATAAGAGGGGCTAGAATTGTTCAGTGCTTTAAATGTATGGGTTAGCACTTTGAATTGACTACTATAGGATACAGGGAGCCAATGTAAGGACTGGCAGAGGGGTGAGGTGTGAGAGGACCGACTAAGTCTGAGAGGAAAATAAGTCTGTCAGCGACATTCATTACAGACAGTAGCAGGGCAATATGGCTTTTGGGGAGACCAATCAGGAGAGGATACAATAATCCATGCGGGAAATTACTAGAGCATGGACAAGCTCCTTGGTAGCATCTTGTGTAAGAAAGGGGCGGACGCGGGCTATGTTTTTAAGTTGGTATCTACAGGATTTGGCAACAAACTGGATGTGAGGCTCAAAGGTGAGGCCAGAGTCAAGTATGACGCCAAGACAGTGTACTTGCAAGGATGGGCTTATGTGGATATCACTGACTTGAAGGGAGAGCGAGAGAGGAGGATCAGTATTAGGAGGAGGAAAGACAAGGAGCTCAGTTTTAGAGAGATTGAGTTTCAGAAAGCGTGAGGACATCCAGTCAGAGATGGAAGAATGGCAAGCAGTCACACGTTGCAAGACGTCAAGGGAGAGGACCGGAGAGGTATATCTGAGTGTCATCAGCATACAGTTGGTAGTGGAATCCAAAAGAGGCAATAGATTTGCCAAGAGAGGCAGTATAAAGAGAAAATAGAAGGGGACCAAGCACAGAGCCTTGGGGAACTCCAACCGAGACAGGACGAGGGTAGGAGGTATCCTTGGAAAAGGAGACACTGAAAGAGCATTGGGAGAGATACGAGGAAAACCATGAGAGGACAGAGTCACAGAGACAGTGATTAAAGAGTTTGAAGCATGATCAACAGTGTCAAAGGCAGCAGATAGGTCAAGGAGAATTAGTATGGAGTAGTGACCTTTGGATTTAGCTGCGATTAGGTCATTAGTAACTTTGATAAGAGCAGTCTCAGTAGAGTGGAGATGGCGGAAGCTAGACTGAAGAGGGTCAAGGAGAGAATTGGAATTGAGGAAGCAAGACACACGGGTAAAGACAAGTCTTTCCAAAAGCTTTGATGAAAAAAGGGTATGGGACGATAGTTAGAGGGGGAGGATGGGTCAAGAGATATTTTTTTTCAGGATAGGTACTAGAGTGGCATGTTTAAGGTCAGCGGGAACAGTGCCAGAAGAAAGAGAGGAGTTGAAAATGTGTGTTAGGGAAGGCAGAAGACAAGGGGAGAGAGATCTGATGAGGTGAGATGGGACAGGATCGAGCGGGCAAGTGGTGGGGCGAGAGGAATGGAGAAGCGCAGCCACCTCTTGTTCAGTAGCCGATGAGAAAGTCTGAAGGGTAGGAAAGGCATGATTTATGTGTGGTTGAGAAAGAGAACGGCAAGGAGGGGAGAGTTCTTTCCTTAGTTGTTCAATCTTGTTGGTAAAGTAGCATGCAAAGCTATAAGCTGTAAGGTTAGTTTGGGGGGTGGCCACAGCAGGGCGGAGAAGAGAATTAAAGGTGTCAAAGAGACATTTATATAACTTGTATGATTTCTGCTCAATGCCTTAATGGCCAACTAATCCATCTCAATTTGTCCTGCTGTGGGAGAAGGCGGCTTGCTGTATGGCTGTCTCATAATCTTTCTGAAATATAAAATTCTTAAAATTAGGTTTTATATTTTATAAAAGACTGGCGAAGGAATATTGGAGGAGCTTCAAGAATGTATAAAGAATGGGGTGAAATGTTAAAAGACTAAATAATGAGGTTGAAGGAATAAAATTATTGTGAAAAGGCACAAAATAGGGACTCTATGAAAAAAGTGAGTCACAGGGTTTTCAGTCTCCTGGCCCATACATGCATATCTATACCAAGTGGATAATAAGTCCTATTTCTAAATATTTTGTATTATCTTACTTTGCCCTGTGAAGGTTGGGAGAAACACTTTGTCTCTTGACCTCTTTTGAAGTAACTTTTCTGCCTTTTCCCTTTCTTTAGTATTTATCTTCAATGATCTTTCTAATAGCCTAAAATTTGCACAGGAATCTGCCTTTATTATTTGCTTTCTCATTGGTCTCACCATCCTGTCTGACTTTTGAATTCTGTTCAAAGATACAATAATTACTGAGAACATGCACTCCAAGTATATAATTGGGTGCAGTCTCCAGAGGTTACCTACGCATTACCTCCTACAACAATAAAATGAAATAAAGGGAGTCGTAACACAAAGTCTCACAGAACCGGAGATTTAGCGTCAACTATGGTGGAATAACTCTCTTATTCTGCAAAATTTAGGAATTTGACTGCGATTACAATTTTGTTAGTTCCTACTTCACTCGCCTCTTTTCTTGATAGCTTTTCTTTATCCATCTCTGTACCATGGTTCCTAGTTCTGTGTCTACCTCATTGAATCTTCCACTACATCTTCCTGTGTTTCCAGAACTGTAAGGCCCGTGTATATTCAGATACAAAATTATATGTATATATACTAAAATGTTTGCACTGTGACAATACACAATAAAACTCCCCACAGTACAAATAGAAAAAATAGTATTGTTCATTACCTGTATACCTCAAGTTTGGTGAAGTATGAAAAAAAAATGAAATGCATGGTGGGCTTCAGGTATACGTTCCTTCTGATTTTCAGAGAAATCATATATTTTATTATCTTGTGGGATCCTGTCCTAGGGTTTTAACCTTTACGATTGCTGGAATAGTATATTATGTTATTAATAGGTTTTGTTCCTTTTATTAAAAATACTATTATCAACTGCTGTTCTTTAGTAACTTCCCAAACAACGATTTCAAATAGATTTATTGTTAGATGTAGCTTTAAGTACTTAATAGAAACTATAAAAAAAGAAACTTGATGTGGACAATGTTACTCTTTAACCAGTGTCATGTCAAGGGTCAGCCAAGGCACTTTATAAACCAACGGTCCCACTAGATCACTTGTGTCAAAGGGGTTAAACATGTGCATCATCACCCAGCCAGACTCTTGTTGCTGTCCCGATATTGGTAAGATGAAATATGAAATCAGCAGTGTATTAATCCAAAACAATATCAGACATCACATGGCAGCAATGGTCTGGAATCTGATACTAGCAACTGTTGCCGTGTGACCTTTTAGTTTGGATGATGCAGACATTTGTACACCTGCATGTGCTCATCAACTTTCACTTCTCCTTCAGCATTCAACAGCAAAGCTATTTTTAAGGATGCACGTAGGCCATGATTATGAATAGAAGGAACCATTGAACTGAAGCATCTTTTCTTCAGTAACCTGTTTATAATGAATTGTAAAGATCCAAGGGCATTCCAAATTACTATGTAATATTTTAAACATTGATTAGCCATAAAAATATTAAAGTGTCCCAAGTGACCTACTATTTTTTTTCTTCGACAATGTTGTTTAATCAAGGTGTACGTAATTATTTTGTAACATAATTTAAGAAATCAATTATAAAAATGTATACAGCAATTAATCTTGGGTCACCCTTTTTGGGTAAAACTTCAATTTTTAGGGTTAAAGCTCTGCACTGATACAGTGAAAAATTTCAATGCTATTAACAGTTGTTAAGTAGTTATGTCCTCAAGGATGTTACAGGTGATTTTGTGCTACTATTCTCTGTGCATTTAAATTAAGCAGTATACAGAAATTATCACTGCCCCCAAACCTTCACTAGTTTTGGTTGGCAGCAATGGCTATATATCAGTTTTATATTGAGATTTGGGACTTTAGACTGGGGTTAGGGTTTTACAGTTCATTTTTATGCTGGTTCTAAGAAATCTGCTGAAAGATTTGTCCATGACTTTTGCACCAATAATGCATGGATTTTTCTAACAATGACAAAGTAGCAGATTTTTTTTTGTGTAACATGACTGCCATGCACAATGTAGCACAGTGAGATTGACCAAGTTTATCTGACGTTTTATGCTGTGGCACATGTTCTGGGTACAATAGATTCAATGCTATAAACATACCCAAAACATTGGCATCCTGTGAAGGGTTAAAGGAGGTGGAACCAGTGACAAGGGGTGGTCCTGTCAAAAAATGGGACAAATTACTGTCAAATCAGTCTAGTGTGAATGCACATCAGGCTGCCTGTCAATCCCACAGTTCAGCCCAGTAAAGGCAGGACTTGCAGGAAGCACTGTTTCAGTGTGTTGAGTGTGTCTAACAATATGCTAACACTACGCTTTTTGGAGATAGTTACTCGGTGTCCACATGTGTGGAACAGCAGAGAACAAAGTTGAGATGGTGAGATAGGATCTGAAAATAAGGACTGTCCTGTAGAAATCAAGATGGTGGTGAGGCATGGTGCAATTAATGGTTTCTTTGCACATGGTAATCAAATTTTCCTACAACTCGGACCTGGATTTTGTGTATTTTTCGCTACTGAAAAAAGTTAGTGGAGTCATCCTAGCTTATAAACATGGTGCATGGACAAACTGACTCTAAATAGAATTGTACATGAAAAAAGTGCATATTCAACATTTGGTACCACATACAAGATCTGCAAGATGTTCTATAAAACATAAACCTTTCTAAATCTGGCTTACTGTTTCAATATTCCACTGGGGTAAAATGTACTGTGGGAATATATGAAACACATTTACCTCAAATATATTACATAAGTTGGGAAGTATGAGATGCCATTTTGAATCTCCCACAATTCCCTGCATTTCCATAATGCAGAGAATTAAAATGAATGCCTTGCTGTTCCATTGCAGCAATCATATTAACCAAAAGCACATAAAAGGCTGTTTTTACTAAGCTGATTGAATAAGTCCTTCATTCCCATGCGACAGACACGTTGACTGCAGAGCAAATAATGTCTGTCACATACTTACTGCTCAGAATAGATAGTTCTGGAACATCTGATGGAAAGGTTATATATGTGAACAATAAAATGAATGGAAATTTGAGTTCCATTGTTTTATCATGCTGGAAGATTTTATTTTTTAAAGCTAATAACTCTCTGAAAACATTACATTAGGAGTGCGGTTGCATCTTGAAGTCTAATATTCTGATGATAAAAAAAATAATAAATTTTTTATTATTGCTTTAATCCCAATGCACTTCAACTGTTGGCCGGTTTTTGGTGCTCTGGGGAAATTGAACTATTTGCCTTGATCTTTGTATAAAAAAAAGTAATTTGATTCCACTGCTAGTCAAACATATCTAAGCATTAGCAGTTGATAAGAGTTGCTCTAGGGACTGACCCTTCTACGAAAGAAAATGCACATTACTAATTACTATTAAAACACATAAAATAAAAAACTTCACAGGTAATTAAACTGAGTAAGTAATGATGGTGATAAAAAAAAATGAAAGGGTATTCGTTGTTTAAATGAAAAAGAAAATCCTAACATAATGTTTACAGATATGTTGAGATGTATGCGGCTTACCTACACAAACATTCTGTTAAAGGAACGAAATATGAGCTCACGGCAACTGTTAGATACATTAAAACGAAAAAAAAAACAGAGGACATTTATTTTGGAAATGGATTCAGAGAGTCTGTTCTGCAGAAAGACTGATTTGTCTGTCACCTATGCAGACTTACTATTTTAAAGTATGTAAAAAGTACTTTTTTCCCCTGGTCTCTCCCTCCAGCACTAGAACCATATTCTCACCCTTTTTGACACCTTAGTTACAAAATATCTATCAAAATTTATCTATCAATAAAATCAATAAATGAGAAGATGGAGGAGTAAGAACAACTTATTTAGTAGTTTAACTGTACAGATCTTGAACGAAATTGCCCTTAAACTTGTATATATATTCACACAGTCAGCATATAATTTTATTTGTGGTTACATACAAGCCATATTCTCACCCTTTTTGCCACCTTAGTTGCAAAATATCTATCAAAATTTATCTATCAATAAAATCAATAAATGAGAAGATGGAGGAGTAAGAACAACTTATTTCGTAGTTTAACTGCATAGATCTTGAACAAAATTGCCCTTAAACTTGTATATATATTCACACAGTCAGCATATAATTTTATTTGTGGTTATATACAATTCTTAAAGCATGAGAAAGAGCTTTCTGAACTTAAACTTCCATTCACCACCCCCATGATGCTTAATACATTTCACAAGGCAACAGTCACAGCAAGACAAGAAAATTAGGAAGCTACTCGATATCTAAAGGTTAGAGGTAATTTCTGCTAAATGTAGAAAAAATAATCATTCATTGGATATGATGACTAAACACGATGTATCATAATTACAGTGAGCAACTATGCCAAGTGTCACCATTAAGTGCTGGAACTGACATTCACACTTTCATGACCACGATAGTTTCCTATTCTCTGCAATGAACTCCTGATAATAATAATAAATGCAGTAGAAAACCGAACTAGAAAACCAGAAGTCAATATAAGCTCAGCTAATAGAACCCCAACATCTGTAAATGATGAAGGGATGACAACTGATGTATTTGAGGGGATGGAAATGGGAATAGTCCAAATCTATGAGAAGCCTGTGAGGGCAGGGATTATGTCAGACAAAGGTGTGGAAACCAGCACCAAGACCTTCACCCGGCGCTGAATTTCAGGTACGTTTAAAAGTTTTACGTGGTGGAGGGGCGCGACTAATAGTAACAGCCAATAGGGCAGTTTATGCTAAAATAACAAACGTCTTGAAAATGGTTAAAGTAACCATTTAATCCTTTTGAGCATTGAGGTAACTCACTACCTGAACACTGGCTTTACATGACAGACGTAGGATTATTTGGGTATGTTGCTTCTACCATTTGTCATCAACAATCAAAGGCAGAAAGTAAATAACCATTGAAGGGCATTTATTTACACGCTAACTCCAAGCATCTGTCTCTTTCTCATGGACACAGAGACACAAATTGATAGTGAAACTGACACAATCTACAATCTTTGTCAAACCTAGTGACATAGTAAATTATTCACTAGAACAGTCAATTTGTCATCAGTTAAACACCAACTTGAAAAAAAAATAGCTGAGTTCAGTGTACCCTTGAACTTTAGTGGGCATTGGACAAGCTTCTAATGGGGTTTAAGTTTGGAGACTGTGTTAGCTATTCCAAAATTCAAAGCCTACTATCTTGATAATTTCTTCCAAGTTAGTTCTGTCATATCCTGGAGATATGTTTTGGACCATTATCTTGTCCGAGGATGAACCCTTGCCAACTAGGCAGAAAGGGCCAAAAATTCTATACCAGCTCAATAATATGTTGCGCCAGCATAGTGTGCAGATATAGAGAAATGAGAAAAACTTAAACTGAAAACTAAAAACAATTACTCCAGTGTGAAAGAAAGCACTCATAGGGCTTCAATATAAAAATAACACATTTATTTAAATGCATTTTCATTGTTTCAGTCCAACTACTTTGAAATATAAACAAAAGTTTGGTAATGGGTCTGAAAGGGTGAATGTATGCTGTTGCACAATTGTAAAAAAAAAAAAAAAAATCTTGTTTATTTTGAAGTACTATGAGTGTGCTCTTCACTCTTTCTGAGGTCATCAAGTCTGATGATCTGAGCCAAAACAATGCTTTCCCATAGGAAAGCGTTGGGAGGCTATTGCGCATGCACCGCAAAACATGGTGCCAGCATCTCCTCATACAGATGCATTGAACCAATGCATCTGAATGGGAGCATTCAGTGCCTCCATGCAGAGTGTGGAGATGCTCCACATAGGTGCTACACATTGCACAGCACTGGACTAGGAAGCATCTCTAATGGCTGAGTGACGGCCACTAGAGGTGTTCCTAGGCAGCACCTTTACAGTGCTTAAACTGCAGGGACAGGCTACAGACAACATTAAGAGAGGGAATTATTCTAACAGTTTTTAAGCTCCACCTATTGTGTATTTTTTTAAATTCTTTATTTTTGTAGTGCGTACAGATATAACAATTACTTAGGAGGTACCCCAAAGGCAGTCCTCTAGCGCAGTATGTACAGTGTAACATAGGGGTTGGCAGTAGATATCGCACATTTTTGTTTTTTTTTGAGTAAGGAGATTGATGGTATAGGTTTACATTGCCTAGGTTCAAAAAGCAGCATACCTTTTGTTTATATATGACAATAAGTATTTACAAGGGTTTCGTTGCAAAGTCTGGCATTTTAAACATTACTAGTTTGTTCAGACCCTGAAAAAGACAGGTTATGAGGTTTCAGCAGTTGGCAATAAACATGCTAGACTGGATCTCTATGTGACAATTCTGTCTACGCTTAAGTTTATATCATGGTTTTGAGAGAACAAGTTACTAAAATGGTGGTTAACTATGAACGTGGTGCTGCATGTCCCGTAACCTAGTACTCAGGGTTCCTGTAAGGTAAGTTTTACACGCTACAACAATCCTGCTTGATCTGGCGTTGTGTCGCCATGAGTCCCACTAAGGTGATAAGTTGCATGTAATTATCTTGGTGTTCCATACCATGTTCTACTTAGATTGGTGTACTATGTCTGCTTATTTCGTGTGAGTAGGTCTTAGCGGAGGCCATGGAGCCACGGGTTCTCACCACACTACTCGCCAATGTATCCCTAGTCCAGGGCATTGTGGCTAGGTGTGACGTGTATAATCTTAGGTTTCCCTATCATGAAATTGGCTCGTGTGCCTCCTGGGTAGGTGTACGATGTGTGTGTGTGTGTGGTCCTTGATCCCTAACCGACGGGGGCCTCGGGGGGGTTGGTGGAGAGGTATTATTGATATATGAGCATGCTCCGGCTTAACGGTGGCTGTTGTGGGGATTGCGGTGCCCCTCAATTGTGGTGTTGGTATGTGGGTCAACTCCTGTGAGTCGGTCGTTTAGCTTAAGTAAGTGTTATATGGGTGTGTGCCCTGCTAGGTTCCCTCTATGGTGCTAAACCCTTGGTATATATGTTAACTGTGAACAGGTAATAGAAAAACATTATGGTTAACTCTGGTAAATTCCCATCGGCGGGCTGAGTGGTAGTCATGTACGTCAAGTGTCCACTATCGGGATTTCCCTTCTCCTCGGTACAAAAGGGACAGTTCTGGTGGGGTCCC